AAAACCTGTGTTTCCTTAATGTTGATGAACAAGCGCTCCCAGGGTGCCAGGGCTCACATGCCATCCTCAGGCAGAGGAGGTGCTCTTGGCCACACAAATCTCGACTACAAAACTGAATTTTTGACTGATATAATTAAGCAATCATTTCATTTAAAAAATTAGATGGTGCTTGTGGTGAAGATCAAACTGCTGGTTATCAATGTTTTTACTCTTGGCTAGTGTCATGATGCCATGCAGGTGGGAATCTCAAATATGTGCAAATGCACACACACGCACACATGTGTGCATGCATACATGTGCATACAAAACCACATGTGCACGTATGCATGTGTGTGTATGTGTGTATGCACATACATATGATTATACATGCAGGAATACATTTGTGACAGATGCATGCACATATGAGCATGTGCACACATTACATGAGTGTGTCAGCACATAGGAGTGCACACAAATGAACACATGCATTTACATGTGAACACACAATACCTGTGTTTACACTCCAAGATATAACATGTTTGCAAACACGTGCACCAGTGCATGAGCGCGCGTGTACGCGCACACACGCACACGCACACACACACACACACACTCCCTCTTGGTGTCTGAGGTCCAGGCCAGTGGCCTGCCTGGGACACCAGGAACTCTAGGTGCAGTGTGTCGGTGGAGTGGCCTGGCTGTGGGCTGGTACCCCTGGCTGAGGCATTGTGGAGCATGCTCGTGGGGAGCACTCCTTGGAGGATTCTGTGGCTGCTGAGCTGCATGTTGGCCTGCACACTCTGTCATATCCAGGTGGGATACGCTGGTGGGACGGCTCCTCACCCAGATGCCAGCACAGCACAGCCAGCCACACCAGGGTAGCGTTGAGGTTGGGGCCAGTGTTGGTGGCAGTGTGAAGTTCGAGTTCCCAGGCTCCCGGGCAGCAGTGTTGCAGAGACCTCTGAGTGACCTCCAGGGAGCTCCGCTCTGGGCACAGGCCCCTTGCCAGCACTCAATGTTATTGCCCCAAAGCACCATTTTCTCACCAAAATATGAATGAAAATTAATAAATAAGAGACTCTAAGCAAAATGAATTCTGGCACATAAATAAGTATAAATTCTTTATATACCTGTGAACTTCTTTTTATAGGAGAGGGAGCCAGCAGCCTAATGTTAGGTGGTTCATTTTCTAGATGATAGGATATATTTTTTTAACTTGCTACTTTTCAGCACAGTAATTACAGGAAAAAACTCACCAAAGTGGAAAATAAAAATCTAACTTCGGGAAGTAGTGCCCATACATCCTTACATCCCCAGTTTGAATTCTAAGGACTTCCTGGGGGTGGTGGGAGAAAGCCTGGGGGTTCCTGTCACTGTTTTTAATGGTTTTCTCAAAATCTCCACATTTGGAGGGTCATCCTCACACAGGTGAGTTTCATCTAGAGAAGTTCTGTCTCTGCCTTTTCATCTACCATCGCTCCTCTGAAGAATGTCAACAGAAATCCTGCTCCTTTTGAATCAGTGAAGTCTGTGTCAGAGCGCAACACTTCCCACACAACAGTCACTTCCTCTCTGTCTCTGGGTGGCTCTGGTCCTGGTCCGGCAGACTGTGTAGTCAAGCCGCCTGGGCTACACGGAAGGCAGGAGCGCCAAGCAGGCTGGTCAGGGGTGGAGGCCGTTATGGCCCTTCTCTGTGCTGCCTGTGGCTGCAGGAGGCGGCCCTTCTCCCAACACCCAGGCCCAGCTTTGGCCTGTGCACCTGCTGTGTGCCCACACTATTCCTGAAACACCAGCCTGGGTCCTCGATCAGCTCCACTCCTGATAAAACTTTCTTCTAAAACATGTGTCAGATTGTGCTGTCCTCCCAGGAACTTCCAGGAACTATGTTTTCTGAAGAAAAAGTAAAACCTCATGAACCTGACCCAGTCTGACCTTTCAGCCTTCTCTGTGGGGCACAGGGGCTCTTGTCTGGGGCCCAGAGAATCAGTAGGTGTGGAGACTAAAGCTGGTGTGTGCCATGGACATGTCAGGAGGTGGGTGTGCAGTGGGGAGGCAAAGTGACTGGTGTCGCTGAGCAGGGAACATGATATGGAGTACCAAGATGTAGGCCAGGAACATCTCAGAGGCCTGGACCATGTCAGAGGCCTGGACCATCACAGGGACCTGGGCCATCTCAGGGGCCTGGACCATGTCAGAGGCCTGGATCATCTCAGGGACCTGGACCATCTCAGGGACCTGGACCATCTCGGTGACCTGGACCATTTCAGGGGCCTGGACCATCTCGGGGCCTGGAGCATCTCAGTGACCTAGACCATTTCAGGGACCTGGACCATTTCAGTGACCTAGACATTGTAGGAGCTTGTCTTAGTTCCCTGGACTGCTGTCACACTACATGGATTAAAACAACAAATATATATTATCTCACAGTCTGGAGGCCAGAAGTCTAAGGTCAGGTAGTTGGCAGGGTTTGCTCCTTCTTGAAGCCCTAAAGAAGAACTCATTCTCTTCCTCCCTCCAGGCTCTGGGAGCCAGCAGTCCCAGGCATACCTGGGCCCATGGACATACCACGTTATACCTGATCCCACTTTTGGTGGCCTCTGGCTCTCTGTGTGCCCTTCTCTGCTTCTTATAAGGACTTCATTGACTTTAGGTCCCTCTCTAGTCCAGAATGAACTGCAAAGACCCTATTTGCAGATAAGGTCATGTTCCAGGTGAATAAGAACTTTGGGGACTGCACTGAACACTTTTGAACCTGGTACAGAACTCAGGTGTGTGGTTTGTGCCCTCCTTCCTGCCTGGGGCCAGCTGCTGAGGATATCCATGGAGGGCACCCCTTCCCTGAGCCAGGAAGCTGGTGGTGCCCTCGCCATCTGTCAGATGAACATTAAAAAAAAAGCTGAAACAGTGAGATTAATCACCCAAGGGGGAAAACTTTATGAACATTTGGCATTTTTGCAAACATTTTCAGATAAGAGCTCCAGTGACTGTGTTATTTCATAAATCCCGCCTGGCACGTTACTTCCTCCTCTCAGCAGCCTGGGGAGACGGGGGCAGGCGTGGCCTCTGTGTCAGAGGCTGGAGTCCTGGTGGAGATTCCCTTCTCATCCAGTGAGAGGCCAGAGTGTGCGCTCTGAAGGTGCCTCTCTGCCTGGGGCAGCGTGGACTCTGCAGTAGCCTCAATTTTGCTCATTTTAGGGACTTTATTCTCCACCTGCTCCTTCTCCCAGCCTTGGCTCACACAGTCCCCTCAACACCTGTGTCCATCCCTGGACCCTCACACCCATCTCGTGTCCTGGCCCTGCTGGGAGCCTTTTCCAAGTGCACCTGCAGGGCTGTCTGAGGCAGCGCCCCCTGCTCCTGTGCAGCAGGCTGGCCCCGGGAGCCCCTTCTGCCTTCTAGGGTAGCTCAGGTTATTTTTCCTTAAATGCAAGACTTCAGTTCTCCTTCGTCTACCACCGTGGAGCTACCCAGAGCTGTGAGCTCTGCCACCTGCCTCCCTCACCTCTTGCCATTGCCAACCCTTCCTGGAGGCGGGGAAAAGCTCCAGGAGTTTCCTGAGACCCCACCCTCACCTGCCCCACCAATTAGCCTTGCCTGAGCCCGCACTCCAGCCCCAGAGTCCTATGCCCACCACCATCTCTGTCAGTGTGGTGTCATCTGACCAGTGGCTAGTTTGTGTTGAGAGCTCTTTATGGGCAAGGCCCTGTGTGACAAGCACTTTAAGATTGCTGCCTCCCTTAATCCTGGAAACAGCACTTCAAAGGTAGGAAAACCCCAGCTTAGGGAACGGGCTGTGTGCCTGGGGTGGAGCTGGTGTGACAACAGGGGTCTGAGCTCAGCTCTTCGCTGTGCCTGGGCCCCTTGCCTTGTTCTAGCCACAAGTGGGACCAAGGTTCTTTTTTCAAGTGGCATTTGTGGGAGTTTTGTGAGCATAGGTTTGGCAGTGTAGCAACCTCCAGCTGTCTGCAGACCTCTGCTTTCAGCGAACAGCCTGCTCACTGCTCTCCTCAGGGTCCCTTAGGACCCTAAACTCAGACTTGCCAAAACTCAGCCTCTCCTTTTTCTCCATTGAGGGGCTCCACCCCTATGCCCGTCACCAGGGCCGTCAATTCAGCCTCTGCTAATTCATCTCCATGTTCTTTCAATGGCTACCCCGGGGACTGGATGTCGTGAATTCCAGAAGGTGCCCCATGCTCCATCCTGCCACTTGCCCCGATGCAAATGCAAGTGCCACTCTTGGAAGACTGGATGGTAAAGATATTTGTATATATTTTCCATACTAAGTGCAGAAATCTGGTGGTATATTACATATAAGGCACATCTCAAAGTAGACTGGCCACCATTCAAAGACGATAGCTGTGGTGGTAAGTTGCTGCTGACTGGTCAACTTAGTGTTATGGCAGTCCAAGCTCAGGTTGGAAAAGAGTTTACAGACACAGAGTATTTCAGAAAGGAGTGAGTTTATTGAGAGCAGAGAGCAGAGACAATGAGGGTCCTGTGAGCACAGCAGCCAACCTCCTGACAGGCCAGGGAGAGCTGATGCTTTTCATGGGTTGTGAAGTGAAAGGTGCTCAGTCATGTCCGACTCTTTAAGTCCTCATGGACTCTACAGTCCATATAATTCTCCAGGCCAGAGTACTGGAGTGGGTAGCCTTTCCCTTCTCCAGGGGGTTTTCCCAACCCAGGGATCAAACCCAGGTCTCCCGTGTTGCAGGTGGATTCTTTACTAGCTGAGCCACAAGGAAGGCCCAAGAACACTGAAGTGGGTACCCTATGCCTTCTCCAGTGGATCTTCCTGACCCAGGAATAGAACTGGGGTCTCCTCCATTGCAGTCAGATTCTTTACCAACTGAGTTATGAGGGAAGCCGTTTCCATGGGTTAGTAGCCAATTTTTATAGCCTCAAGACAAAAAAAAATTCCTGCTGGAAGGGTGGCATTAGGTGATAGGTTAGGGCGTTATATGGTGAATACTGGATTGGGCCTCTTTGCGTATTTTGGCCAGGAAGCTTGTTAGTGATGATCAAGGGTACTTTTGGCAATGGTTACAAAGGGTTTCGTAAGTTCTGGAAATGGCCTTGGTTCTGGGCCCTGCTCCCGTGACCTTGGTGTGGGACTGTGCTCTTAGGACACCTCTTCCCCACACATGTCCTTTATTTTTATCTGGAAGGAGGTTACCTCTGATGTACTGCAAGTAATATAATATATGATCAAAAATGAAACACGGGACAGTTCCCACGTCCAGCCCGCAGCTCTCTCTCCCCGTTAAACATGCAACGTGTCCAGGAGCAGCGGAGTGACCCCTCGCCTCCTGGGTCGCCCTCACCTCTTGCTCCGCGTGGGCCTCACCCGGAGCGTTCTTGTGCTTCCACAACAAAAGTGTGTGTCTGTGCATGTTATATAGTGTTGCCTGCATGTTCTCTAAAACCTGAAATATCGTTGACTTACAACGTTGTGTTAATTTCTGCTGTGCAGCAAAGTGATTCAGTTATACATATATATTCTTTTCCATTATGGTTTATCCTAGGATATTGAATATACTACCCTGTGTTCTACAGTAGGACTGTGTTGTTTCTTCATCCTATATATACGAGTTAGCATTTGCTAATCCCAAACACCCAGTCCATCCCTCCTCCATCCCCGTCCCCACTCGGCAACCTCAAGCCTCTTCTTTATGTCTGTGGGTCTATTTCTGTTTTGTAAGTAAGTTCATCTGTGTCATATTTTAGATTCCACATGTAAGTGATATCGTATGGTATTTGTCTTTGACTTATCTCACTTAGCATGATAATCTCTAGGTTCATCCATGTTGCTGCAAATAACATCATTTCATTTTTTTTAATGTCTGCTATTTTAAATATTTAAAATGTTGTGTTGGTTTCTGCTGTATAACAACTTGAATCAGCCATAATTATATATATGGAGAAGGAAATGGCCACCCACTCCAGTATTCTTGCCTGGAGAATTCCATGGACAGAGGAGCCTGGTGGGCTGCAGTCCATGGGGTCGCAGAGAGTCAGACATGACTGAGCGACTAACATTGCATTATATATATATATCTATCAGTTCAATTCAGTCACTCAGTTGTGTCCGACTCAGTTGGTTGCAACACCATGGACTGCAGCACGCCAGGCCTCCCTGTCTGTCACCAACTCCCAGAATTTACTCAAACTCATGTCCATTGAGTCCATGATGCCATCCAACCATTTCATCCTCTGTCATCCCCTTCTCCTCCTGCCTTCAATCCTTCCCAGCATCAGGGTCTTTTCCAACGAGTCAGCTCTTCACATCAGGTGGTCAAAGTATTGGAGCTTCAGCTTCAGCATCACTCCTTCCAATGAATATTCAGGACGGATTTCTTTTACGAGGGACTGGTTGGATCTCCTTGCAGTCCAAGGGACTCTCAAGTCTTCTCCAACGCCACAGTTCAAAAGCATCAATTCTTTGGCACTCAGCTTTCTTTACAGTCCAACTCTCACATCCATACATGACCACTGGAAAAACCATAGCCTTGACTAAAAGGACCTTTGTTGGCAAAGTAATGTCTCTGCTTTTTAATATGCTGTCTAGGTTGGTCATACAGATTTTTGAGATTGCATCCAAGTACTGCATTTTGGACTCTTCTAATGACTATGATGGCTACTCCATTTCTTCTAATGGGTTCTTGCCCACTATAGTAGATATGATGGTCATCTGAGTTAAATTCACCCATTCACGTCCATTTTAGTTTGCTGATTCCTAAAATGTTGATGTTCACTCTTGTCATCTCCTATTTGATCACTTCCAATTTGCCTTAATTCATGGACTTAACATTCCAGGTTCCTATGCAACATTGCTCTTTACAGCATAGGACCTTGCTTCCATCATGTCACATCCACAACTGGGTGTTGTTTTTGCTTTGGCTCCATCTATTCATTCTTTTTGGAGTTATTTCTCCACTGATCTCCAGTAGCATATTGGGCACCTACTGACTTGGGGAGTTCATCTTTCAGTGTCCCATCTTTTTGCCTTTTCATACTGTTCCCAAGGCAAGAACGCTGAAGTGGCTTGCCCTTCCCTTCTCCAGTGATATATGTATCTCACCTCCCTGTTGAGCCTCCCTCGCCTCCCCCATCCCACCCTCTAGTTCACCAGAGTGCCAGACTGGGCTCCCTGTGTTACACAGCAATTCTCACCAGTGCTCATGATAGTGTATATATGTTGATGCTCCTTTCTCCATTCGTCCCACTCTCTCCTTCCCCCACTGTGTCCACAAGTCCATCTCTACATCTGCATTTCCATTCCTTCCCTGCAAATAGGTTCACCAGTACCGTTTTTCTAGATTCTGTATATATGCATTAATATACAATATTTGTTTTTATTTTTCTGACTTACTTCACTCCTTGTAATTCTGTAGGTTCTTTCCACCTCACTAGAACTGAGTCAAATTCATTTCTTTTTATGGCTGAGTAATATTCCATTGTGTATATGTGCCACATCCTCTTGATTCATTCATCTTTTGGTGGACATTCAGATTGCTTCTGTGTCTTGGCTATCGTTAATACTGCTGCTACCAATATAGGGGTACACATTTTTAACCTTACTCAATGGTCTCATACTGAGAAGAGTTGCTGGTCCCAGTTCCAATGACTGCGTGTGGAGCTGACCAAGCAGCTCTCTGTGGCCGTACGGAGTCCGAGAATCCCACTCAGTCCTGATACTATCAACCCAGAGATAGAATCAGTTCCCACCTGCCACTTCCGACAACACCAAACCCAGGGCCAGGTTGCTGCCTGTGCCTCTGACTAACTGACTGTCAATCAGAGGCACCCAAGAGCCTCTCCTCTGGTCATTCCCTTAAGTGGATAGAATGGCTAGCAGAGTTCAGGGAAACATTATGTTTACTCACTAGTTTAGTGATTTACTATTAAAAGATATTAAAGGATATGAATTAAGAAGCAGATGAAGAGACATGCAGGGCAAAGTCCTTAACAAAGGCCTTCTTTTTTTGTGGAGCTGGGAGCCCAGCATGCTGACACATAGAACGTTCCTGGTTCTCTGACTTGGGAACTCTCAAAAAGGGTAAGAAGGCACTCCTTTTTTTTTTTTTTAAGGGGGGATTCATTATATACTCATGATTAACTAAGTCACTGGCCAATAGTGATTGACTCACCAGGAATTAGCGGGCAGGCCTAAAAGTTCCAGCTCTCTAATCACCCGGCTGGTTCTCCTTGCAACAAGCCTCCATCCTGATTGTTGTCAGTTGCTCAGTCATGTCTGACTCTTTGTGACCTCATGGACTGCAGCACACCAGGCTTCCCTGTCCTTTACTATCTCCTGGAGTTTGCTCAAATTCAAGTCCATTAAGTCGGTGATGCTAACCAACCTTCTCATCCTCTGTTGCCCTCTTCTCCTCCTGCCTTCAATTTTTCAGCATCAGGGTCTTTTCCAATGAGTCAGCAATTCAAGTCAGGTGGCCAAAGTATTGGAGCTTCAGCATCAGTTCTTCCAATGAATATTCAGCATTGATTCCTTTATTTTTCTTTAAAATGGTATATTAACATGCAATAGGGGCTTCCCTGGTGGTTCAGATGGTAAACAATCTGCCTGCAAACTGGGAGACCCAGGTTCGATCCCTGGGTCGGGAAGATCCCCTGGAGAAGGGAATGGCAACCCACTCCAGTAGTCTTGCCTGGAAAATTCCATGGACAGGGAAGCCTGGTAGGCTACAGTACTTGGTGTGGCAAATGATTCATATCTTTATTTTTAATTGAATATATTTATTTTAAATGTCTTAATTTTAAATGCTATAAATGCTGACAGATATAGCCCACATAAACCCAAGCTTCTGGGACCCCTGGTGGCTCCTGGATCATAAAGGCCCTGAGCTCTGCAAGGGGACCCTGGCAGCAGGTGAGCCTCGTCCCACAGAATCCCTGGACACTAACAAACCTGGAAACTTTGTATTCTTCAATTTAAACACATATATTCGGGTAACTTATCCAGAGGAAATTAAAAGCTCAGAAGTTCCTGGAGTGATTGTCAACAGGGAAATATGATGCATAACCCAACTAAGTATTTTAAAATGAGATTTTAAAACTACTTACTACTCAATCTAAATTCAAGTACAGTAGTCAAAGAAATTGAAGCTATTCATCAACCTTATAGAATTCACATCTTTTTTTTAAAAGAATAATCTTGCATTTAAACAGATATCCTTCATGACACAAACCCATGAAGTAAATAAAAGAGTTTAAAAATATATAATTTTTCCAGTGTCTTAATAGCTCAGTCTAAGACTTTGTGTTGGTTTGGTCCATGGCTGTGAAGAATATACAGACAGCAGCTGTGATGAGTAGATGCATTCCCTCATAGAGAAGTTTTGGAGAAAACACACTCCATATAAATAAGTGATAACGCAGGGATGTCACCAAAACGATATACACAGAAACTGGAGTGGAACAGATGAGCGCGTAGCAGAAGCAAGCACGACTCAGTGCGGAGCTGCTGTTGACAGAAAGGGAAACGTGCGTTAGCGCACGCCGCTCTGGACTGTGTGAGTCATGAGCACACATGCAACCACGCGAGCACGAGCCCTGGAGTGAGTCCAGCCCAGCCTTGGGTCCCACTGGGGACCCAGTCCCTCAGGCAGGGGTTCTCGGAGAGCTGCGCCTGAGGCATCACCTCCCCCCCTCCTGGAGCCTCGGTCCCGACACCCAGCATGGGAAATCCCCGGGGATGGGCCTGGGCACAGGCTCCGCTGCCCTCCTGGAGTGCCAGGGCATCTGTGCTCAGCGGGAGCCTGCTGACCCCATGGCCCTCTAGACCAGACAGGGAGGTAGGGAAACTCCGGACACTGACTTGCTTGGGTTTCAATGTCATGCATGGGGAACGTGACCCACTTGGAAGACTCTGACTGGGTTCCTTCCATAGTGACAGCCCCAGTGAGAAGACAGTTCCTGTAACCTCAGCATAAGATAATTTGCAATTGAGGGGATGAACGGAGGCCCTGCAGCTTGGACCAGCTAGGCTGTCCCCACTGCTAAGCTCCAGAACAGATGCCAGCTCCTTAGTAGAGAGGCATGGTCTACCCAGGGCCTAGTTTTTGAGCCATTAGAAATACATTTTCAGAGCTTCCTTGGTGGCCCAGTGGTTGAGAACGTAGCCTTCCAATGTAGGGGACATGGCTGAGATCCCTGGTTGGGGAACTAAAATCCCACATGCTGCGGGGCAGGAAGACCCCGCACCTCAATTGGAGAGCCTGCCTGCAGAAAACTACAGAGACCATGTGCCACAGAGAGAAGCCCGCATGCTGCAATAAAGAGCTCATGTACCTCAACTAAGACCAGATGTGGCCAAAAAAAAAAAAAATTTAGAAAAATCATCTCCCTCTTAAAAAAAAAAGTGTTAGCTGCCCAGTTGTGTCCGACTCTTTGCGACCCTATGGACAGCAGCCCCCCAGGATCTTCTGTCCATGTGATGCTCCAGGCAAGAATACTGGAGTGGGCTGCCATTCCCTTCTCCAGGGGATCTTACTGACCCAGGAATAAAAAAAAAAAAAAATTTTTCTTTTTCTACCACTTTAGTCTGGTTATAGTTTTCTGATTTTACTGGAAAAATAAAAACAGAAACAATGAGTGAAATTTGACTGAAAATGAATGAGAAAAACTTTTTCTAAAATAAAAGAGAAACATTCCTTAATTAGGGAAATCATCATACAACCCTCCCCAACTGACTAAAATGCTTTCAACTCACTTAAAAAAAATGCTAACATCTTTTTTTCTCTCCAATACAAGTGTAATAGATGTCAAGTGCCAGGAAAATCAAGCTGTGATTTTAGCACCAGGGAAGCTGCTCTTCACAGAAGACGGCTCTCACGGCCAGGCCTTCACCTGCCCTGTCCACCTGGTCGGCTGGCCTGCAGTCACAGACGTGGTGTGTGCCAAGCTGGTACCACAGCAGGCAGCCCTCCAGGGCAGGGGGTGCACACCTCACCTGCTCATGGCCCAGATGTGTGAAGGAACCTGCCAGCCTCCTGACCCAAGCAAACCCACAGCTCAGGGGCGATCTCATAGCCACGGGGGGTTCACCTGCAGCATGATTAACGGAAGGACATCCCAGGCCACACACCCACCCCATGTCCCTCCACGGCCACTGGCAGGCACCCGGCTCACAGGTGCGGATGACCAGACCAGCAGTGGCTATGAGTCAGGGGAAGTCTGTCCACAGACATCCCAAAGGCCACCTGAAGGGATGTCCCATCCTTGGGAAGCCTGCGGCCTCAGAGCAGGAGCTCTCTCCTCGGCAGGAGCCTCCCCAAAGTCCTACTCAAGTCTCGCCAGCCTCACACTGACGCTCACCTTCACCCTGAACGTCCGCGGGGACACAAGCGTGGGGACAGAGGGCGAGGCTCCCTAAGGCCTGTGTCTCAGGACCTGGTCTGGGGGTGAACCTGTGGGACTGAGAAGAACCCATGATGGAGGCCAAAGAAGTGGGGTTCAGACATCGGGTCAGCAGTCACCCAGTGAGGCCTGTGCTACTCTCTGGGGTAGGGAAGTAGGGGCCCTGAGGCAGGTGGAAACGGGAAGCTCACCCTCCCCTGGGCTGGAAGGGTCCCCCTGGGGCCTTCCTGACCAGCGCAACTGCCCAGTGTGTGAAGGGGAGCATGTCAGGGGTTCAGAGGCGCTGAGGGAGCCCTGACGTACAGACACTGCACTCCTCACACTCCGGCACCTCACGGGGTCCACAGCCCAAGGCAGCAACACCAGCACCCTGCCTGACTGATGAGGGTGGCCCAGCAGCAGGCTGCCACACACCACTCAGGCCGCACACTGCCAGGTGGCCTGGGCACCCAGGGAAGCATGTGGACGGAAGCTGGAGGCCCTTCCTCATGACGCCCCTTTCCGAGGGGAGTGATGTAGAAACAAGGAAGGAAGCACGGAATGTGAGGCGGTGGGCACTCTGTGGAGTAAACAGGCAGGGGAAGGATGGACAGATGGATGTGCTGGGCAGGACAGCATGGTGGGCTGCCCTGTCAGTCTGACAGGAAGGAGCCTTTGGGGCTGGTGACCGTCAGCTTCCATGGGGGCAGGACAGGCTGACAGAGTCACAGCCCCACAGGGAGCCCCTTGGGACCATCCAAGGCTCCCCTCTCCAGCAGGGATCCGGGAGGTGAAAACTAGCTCTTGTGAGAACGAGAGAACTCCTGCTTTCTTGTCCCCAGTGGACACCTCCCTCCCTGGGCCCCAACCAGGTCCCCAGCAAGAAGATGAGATGAGAAGGGGCTTTCCGTCCTGTCCAACTGGAGACCCAACTCGGGATGATCTGGAAGAAGCCAACGTGGAGGTCCGAGCTGCCCCAGAGCCGACACTGGGCGCGCACTGTGCGCTCTTCCCTTATTCAAGGGAAAGAAAGCTGATGGAAAGACCTCTGAGTTACTGGGAGCAGGAGTCAACCTGCGTCAGAGTAAAGATGAGGAGCCTCACCTGCTGGCTTCTGAGGTCAGAAAGTTCACCAGGTGGCTGGCCCACAGCACAGGCCCCGAGTATGTCGCAAATGCCGTCAGGAACATGGCTGGGATCTCCATGTAGGCATCCAGGCCCACGAAGCCTGCTGAGATGTCCACAGTGGCGATGCTGTTGGAGTTTCCCTGGAGGAGGGCAGAAGCAGTGCTGACGCGGCTGGTCCTGTACCATGGCCACGAGGGAAGATGGGAGCCAGCTGCGGGGACATGGCCCCAGGAGCCCCGTTGCCTGTTCACTCCTGGCTCTGGGGCTGACCCTGGATGACGGCCCTCCACCTGCCTGCCTCACTCCCAGGCTTGGGGAGCAAGTGGAATGTTTTTTACCTTTGAGAAACTATACAGTGTAAGTCTGCTGATGGAGTGTGGAAAGCCCCAAACTTCTGTCAACTTCAGGTATACTAACCTCCCTCCTCGGGGATCCTGTCCGAGGGGCTAAGGGCGGTGTTGCCACATGGCTTACAGGAGCAGCAGGACACTGCTGTCAGGGAGTACAGGCAGAGTCAGGCCCAAGATCCTGGCCACTAACAGGACAGCTCGTCCCACCAGGAAGGGCGGGGTTTTGAATCCAAGTGAGGGTCTCCCAAGGTTTGGCCCCCCACCTTTCAGTCTTCACTGACGCTGGTGGCCTTTTCTAAGATACTTGCACTGTTATAGGCCTGACAGCACAAATGTCTGTCCCAGCACAGTAAAGGCCCTTCCCAGGAACTTTCTACCCGATGGCCCAGGACATGGATCCAAGCTGGGCGAAGCGCACCGCCTCCTCCCCTGGCTGTGTGCCATTCTGGGTCATCACTGGGTGGTGGCGCCGACCCCCAAACATCTCAGGCCACACCTACTCCCGCTGTGTTCACTGTCCACCGCTGGCCCATCCCTTGAAAACAACCTCCTTTGTGCAGTTTCCCCATGACCCCCTCTGCTCACGTCTGTCTGGGCTCTCCCCCGACGGTATGATTGCCTCCCTAGAAACTGAGAAGACCTCGGAGCTGCTGAGAGGAGGAGAAGGAAGAACAGGAATCTCAAACGCCATGGCGAGGGGGTGCAGGCTGATGACGGAAAAGTGGCTCTGACCCCAGGCGGTTGCTGGAGGTCCTGCCAAAGCCGACTCTGCCGTCAGGGAGGACTGGCCTAAGGTGCAGCCCGCACTCTCTGGGCCTTCCCTTGCGTTAGGTCACTAGGTTCTCAGCAGTCCTGATGCTGTGTGTGTGGGTGGGGGGAGAAGGCGTGGTCTAGAGGCAGACACTAACTGGCCCATGGAGGGCTGTGGATGCCAACCGGGCACTATGCTCCTGACCCTGGGCCAAGAGGAGTCAGTGAGCTGAGGGCTGGGGAAAGGGTCAGTGAGCCTGTGAGCCTCCTGCCAGGAAACCCGGCAGTGAGAAAAGGACGTCCCGAGGGAAGGGCTGCGGGCGGGGAGACGAGAGGCCCCGGGGGCCCCCCGTGCTCCGAAGGCCACACACCCGCCCGCTCGTCTGACATGTGTGGGGCCTGCCGTGAGAGGGCGGGCCTGTGTTGCTTCTGCTTCTCAGGGCCCTGCAGCACGCCTGACGGTGCCTGTTGCAGGCACACCCGTGGCTGTCAGACACATGTGCTCTGGCTGCCTGTGGGCAGTGCCTGAGATGTGCCAATATCACATACTGTCATGGAAGCTTCGTGTCCTGCCGTGGGATGAGGCCACATGTGGCAGAGAAGCAAACTGAATGTCAAGAGGCTGTCTCCTTGCTTGGGGGCATGACCTGAAGCCAGTCTTCCTGACACTGAGGCCTCAGCGTTGGGCAGAACTGTTCAGTTCACAGGGAGCCTGTGGGCACCTTCCTGATCAGGCGGCAGGGTCTGCTGTGCCACCTGGGGCAAGTGGGAGACTCTGGTGAGCTGCACTCCGGGTACGGGGAACAGGTCAAGGGCAGGGCCGAAGGCTGAGGTGGAACTCGGTCCTTCTAAGGCCAGGAGCTGGACGCTCTGTCCAGTGCTGTCCCAAGCACACAGTTGCACCCTGAGGTCTGTCCTGGAGATGGCTGGGTCTGCCTCTATGGGCCCTTCAGCACTGAAGAGGAGACGCGACACACACGGGTCCCAAGAGAGTAACAGCCGAGCGGAGCCCCAGTGGCGCCCAGTGCTGGGAGCCAGGGAGCAGGGAGAGCAGTCACCAGCAAAGCTGACAGAGCCAAGCACTCGCTCCCCTGACTGCCCTCGGGAAGCAGGCCCGCACAGCAGCTGCACGCTGCCACCAAGCACGCCTCTCTTAAATAACTAACTGTACTTTATCTTATAAATATATGCATGATTTAAGCATAATTCACCTTGCCATGCCAACAGTTCTTGCACTAAACTTCCCAGCTTATGGTAAACATTTCTTAAAGAAAAACTAAAAGATAAACAACATAAAAATTAACAGTCTTCTATCCATGATGATGAAAACCTACCTGAAAATAGAAGAATGCTTGACCAAACCAGTAATGCATCACAGTGACCTCAGTTACATTGTGCCTCAGGGGCTTCCAGATGAACTGAGTCATGATGGTCTGGATCGCAAGGCTCAGCACCAAGACAGGAAGATTGTGGGGTCTGAGGAGCAGCGCTGCCAGGAGAACTAAACCACTGTATATCTCCCAAAGGCCCACAGTCCTGGCCGTGAAGTCTGCAGCAATGATTTGAGTTTTAAGCAAGTCTTTGGTGCCCGTGAACAGAATGCCAAGGACAAAGACATAAACAAAACGAGCCTCGGTAATGCCCCTAAAGAAAGCAAAACAAGTCAGATTCATTAGCACCAGCTGCAAAAAACCCAATACGCATTTTCTCACAAAAACCATGTGTCTACTGAGCTGAGGTGACAATACAAGCTTTGGGACCCACCCACCAGGGGGGCTCTGTGGAAGTAGGGGTGTCTGCCTGTGCACATCAGCCCCCCAGGACCCCCAGAGGCTGGCAGGCCTGCCGGCTGACAGGAAATCGTGCTCATGTGGCCAAGGATCACCTGGGTGAAAGATCAGAGCCATCACTTGTGGCCAAAAGATCTGTCCACCTGCTTTGCATAGTTAATTTGAAAAAATGCTGCAGTAGGATAAGGTCAAAGAGGGAGAAATCCTCAAAGGCCCAAGTAATCAGAGACATTTCAAGAAGAAAGGGGCTGGGTCCCGTATCAAGGAGGACACTGGGCAGGCTGACAGTGAGCAGGAAGGAGAGCACCACTGATGTCTTTAAGGGTCCCCCTCTGGCCCTGACCACCCAGCTGTGCCTGGATGTCCAGAACCACTGAAACCAGGCCTTCCACCCCAGCCAGGTCTGGGCTTCAGAGTGGAGGAGAAAGTCAGGAGTTAAATGCAGAGGATTCCAGAACACCGATGGAGAGCAGCACCTGAGGGGACTGAAAGGAGAGAAACAGCTTTTAGGGAGATCTAGAATCAGGGCAGTTCTTTAGAATCAGGGCAGATCTAGAACCAGGAGGGAGTCTAGAATCAGGATGGACCTGGAACCAGGATGCATCTAGAATCAGGATAAATGGGGTGGGGAGTGGAAGCATTTTACAGGAAGAATGGGAACCAGGCAGTGCAGGTTAATGAAAGGCTGCACTGGTCTACGTTTTAGACACCAACAAGGTACATACTATTGTCTTCCATGAGAGGTAAGGAAGTGATCCATATCTTGATGCAAGTGATCCTGAAATAAGGTGCATCCGAGAGGAAAGAGGAATTTACTTATGTATCACCCTTTGGTTTGTAAATTAGTTCATGTGCATCATTTTTCAGATCCTATATATAAGCAACATACACTTTGAGATAAACAGCCTTTAGGGTGTCTTATCACCACGCCCTCCCCACCTGACCTTCCTTTCACAGGAAGGCCTGCCAGCTGTCACCTGAGCCAGGCCCTCAGCATCATCTTGACTCCCCACATCAGGTGATAGGCCCTGTTTCCAGGTGTGCCCCCTGTGCCTCTTGGCCACCCGAACAATCTGGCCATAGCTCTCAAAATTCACCCTGACACATTTTCAGAGAGGGTAACACTTGCTTTTCTTTCTCTGACTAGCAAAGCAATACCAAACGTTTAGAGAAAACCTATCGTTCTCAAAGTATTCCAAAAAATTGCAGAGGAAGGAATGCTTCCAAACTCACATTATGAGGCCAGCATAACCCTGATATCAAAACCAGACAAAGATATTGCACACAAAAATTTATGAACCAACATCACTGATGAACACAGATAATAAATCATCAACAAAATAGTAGCAAACCAAATTCAAAAAAACATTAAAAGGATCATACACTGTGATGAAGTGGGATTTATCCCAGGGATGCAAAGATGGTTCAATATCCAAAAAACAATAAAAGTTATATACCAAATTAACAAACTGAAGAATAAAAACCACATGATCCTCCTCAACAGATGTGGAAAAAACTTCTGACAAAATTCAACATCCATTTATGATTTAAAAAATTCTCCAGAAAGTGGGTATAGAGGGAGCATACCTCAACATAATAAAGGCCACATATGATAAGCCCACAGTTAACATCATACTCAGTGGTGAAAAGATCTAGACTAAGAACAAGACAAGGATGTCCACTCACCACTTTTATTCAGCATAAAAATTGGCAGTCCTAGCCATAGCAGTCAGATAAGAAAAAGAAATAAAAGGACTCCAAACTGGAAAGGAAGAAATACAACTGTCACTGTTTGCAGATGCCATGATATAATACATAGAAAATCCAAAATACCACTAGAGCTCATCAATGAATTCAGTACAGCTGAATAATACAAAATCAATATACAGAAATATTTTACATTTCTGTAACAATGAATTATCATTAATAAAAAGAAAACAATCCCACTGACAACCACGTCAAAGTAATAAAACACTTAGAAATAAATCTAAGAAGGAGATAAAAGAACTATACTCAGAAAACTGTAAGATACTCATGAAAGAAACTGAAGACAGCACAAACTGATGTAAAGACATGTTTAGACATACCATGTTCTTGGATTGGAAAAATTAATATTGTTAAACGATCATCTACTCAAGGCAACCTACATATTCATGTAATCCTTATCAAAATACAAATGGTATTTTTCACAGAACTAGAACAGGTAATTTAAAAATTTTACAGCTTGTAAGGAAACAGAAAAGATTTCAACTAGCCAAAACAATCTTGAGAAAGAACAAAGCTGGAGGCATCACAAGCCTTAACTTTAAACCATACTACATAGCTACACTTATCAAAACAGTAAGGAACAGGCACAAACACACACACCACACACACACAGATTGATGGAATGGTATATAGAACCAAGATGAACCCACACTTATGTGGGGAATTAACTGATGACACAGGAGGCAACAATATACAGTGGGGGAAAGACCGTCTGTTCAATAAGTGGTGTTGGAAAAACTAGAAAGCTACAGGCAAATGAATCAAACCAGACAGCTCTCTCATGCCACAAACAAACATAAATTCAAAATGGATTAAAGACCCGAAAGACCCATAGACCTCAGAGACTCATCCATAGCTGCTGGCCAATCGCCTCATTTTTCACCATGTGCAACTGTAAGTGATGCTTCAGAGAGCACACCCATAATCCCAGTCTCTTGCTTCATGTCTGGTTGTATCTTTGAGATGAATTCTAAGAGTACACCCAAGTCAGAGGGTTGGACAAAATCAAGATTCTTAACACATTTTATGAATAGTCTTCCAAAACAGGGTCTGCTCGCCCCAACCCTTGTGACTGTTAAAAGCAGAGAAAGCCCTGTGACGTGCAGAAAGTGGTACTGACAATTTGCAGGAGCCAGCTGCAGGAGCTCATGTAAATTATGGGAAAGTTGGGCTTTCTGCCATGCTTCACCCCCAACTGCTAGGAGTATCCACTCATTATTATCCTCATTACTAGTTACTTCTTAGTGGAGCAAAATGAAATCCTTTAAATTCTTTATTTTTAAACAATCCCTTATTTTTAAAAAAAACCTCAGTGACCTTACTTCCAAGTTATTTGTCTCTCTCCTACCAAAAAAAGAGGCTAACAGAACTGGCCTACCGAGGTGTTCTCAGTAACTGTTGACAAAATCACAATTCACAAAAACCCAACTCTAATGTTCTCAAGATTGCATGGCATTTTTAGTACATAAAACATCACAACAGATCTAGAAACAAGTGCTTGTGTCTGCTAGTACACTTACTTTGAAATGTCTTTGTTGTCTTGTTGCCATGGGAACAGCACATTTCCAATGGCGGCCCGGTAGCAATAGATGCCCAGCAGGCCAAACGCCATGGCCACTTTTGATGTGAGGGAGCACCTCTTCTGAACCAACACAAAAATCATGGTGAGGGAAAGTGCGGCCAGAACAGAGAGTTCAGCCTTATGATCAGAGCTGGAATGAAATGTAAGATGCCAGAAATTACTATCAAGGACCACTAGTGATGTTATGGATCTACACATGTGGCTTTCTAAGAATGGAACAAATAAAGGGCTGTTAACCCAAACTCTCATTGCTCATTCACAACTGGTCTCCACCATCAGCTCTGCATGGGTCAGGGCAACACTGTCTGCTGGCTCGCCTTTCTGGGGCTGCCTCGCTTTCCCCAACCACAGGTGAGGAGGTTCTGGGCAAACGGTGTGGTTACCAGCACGCACCCGCTCACAGGAGACATGTCCTGGCACCATCCTCTTCCATTCACTTGTCAGTGCAGAGGCAATCACTCGGGAGTGTCTGCCCCCTTGCAGGTGCCCCAGCAGAGAGGCTGGGCACACGGCTGTCACAGCTGTCTCTCTGCCTGGCCTTTGCCCATGCCCCCTGCTACCTCGGTGAGCTGTCCTGGGCGGCAGGGCTTTCCCGTTTTGTTCACTGCAGCTCATGGTCATGAAGCCCAAACACTCAATACCTGTGAAGTGGATGAGTCAAGATGCATACAAACCACATGGAAAAACTACTAGGAAAGATGCAAGGGAAAGGAGGCCAGTGTCAGGGCATGGGTCCTGGGGATGGTGACAGGGTTACACTGGGGCCTCCACTGCTGCTTTGCAAGCTGCACTTCATGCAGATCCTGGATAATTGTCACAAATGGAAAGCACAGCATAGAGGCGGCAATTTTGGGTGTCTCTGGGTGCCTCTTGAAGGCTTTGTCCTGGAGGAGGAATCACTGAAACTGCAGCCTCCTCACAAACGGACTGGGAGAGTCATGCCCCGATGGAAAGGTGCAGGGGGCCAGTGTGCTGGGGGAGGGTCCAGACTGAGGAGTGGACACAGCCACACCCTGGAGAGGGGGCAGGGGTGGTGGGTGTGCCCTTGCACGCACGCCTGTTAGTGCATCTGGGGATGGAAACCACCAAGTCCTCCTGCAGTGCTGCAATGTCCCAGGAAAATTAGAAGGTCATCGTGCTGCCCTGGCGCTCTCACCCTCAAAAGCTCTGGCTCTGCCCGCCACGCCTCAGCTCCCCTCTGCTTTCACACCCCAAGCAGGGACAGGCCAGTACGCTCTTTTCAAGGCTGCTGTGAAAATGGAATGAGTGGGCACACAGCAAGTACCTGAAAAATGCTACCTGTGGTTACCGTGGTTGCCAAAGATTTGCTAGTACTGTTATCACTGGGGAGGAATTTACCATAAGAATTATTTGGCCAGAGGAATAAATAATCTTACAGCCTCTGGTGTACAGTTCCAGAAGGACTTATCCAAAAGGACTGTGCCAGTGTGTGGTCCCAGGGTGCTCTGGTGCTCGCCAAATCCTCACCAGGTATAAAACTGCACTCTGTGATTTGACACTGCCAAATCACCAGCCGGGAGCGTGCCTTTCCCTGATCTTTCCTCTGGGACTCCCTCCCTTAGGAGTGTGTCTACTATAGTTGTGAGTCTTGCATTTTGCCAACAGTTCTAAAGCTCTCCCCGGTGATACGATAGTGACCTCTGTTGGTCTCTCCTGGAAATATTTTTTCATTTTGCTGTGCTCTTACTTGAGTTGTTTCTTAAGACTTCATCAACAGTAAAATTTATGATATAGCCAAATCTTGGTCTTTTCTGTCCTAGTTTCTTCTCTTCACTTCAGCCCTCTGTACCTGCTATACTTTCCACTGGGTTACCCAGCCACCCGTGAGAGGCCTCAGAAGCAGCTGAAGACACGCCTCCAGGCTCCAGCCAATGCAGCTGCCCCTCTGGGGGTGGGGGGTGGGGGAGGCAGGGGGACAGAGAGGGGCAGGGGCACATGGCTCCAGCTCAGCCTGTCGCCCTAGCCCCGCACCGTGGGGGACAGGGCAGCGAGTGACGAACTACATCCTGCTGCAGTGATCATTATAAAACACTGGTTTTCAAACAGGAACACTTACAGTGATTCGGCAATGAAAAACCAAACTACCAGGCTAGCCTCAAATAAATTCACCTTTCAATTCAGTTCATGGGTTATTCTTCTACTTCTTCAGACTTCAAAGACCATTTCTATCCTGAGTAGGAAAAACAGGTCTTTGGAGCATCTGGCCCAAGGCCACAACTCACGCCCTCACCTGGTGAGCCAGTGCCCCAGGTCCGGCCGGTGGGCCCACTGCACACCGGTCTGGTTCAGGGATCGCAGCAGCCGACAGCAGGCCAGGACCAGCCAGGGGCTCGCCAGCACCATCCACCGCTCAGGGCCTCTGAGGGCTTCCAGGGAGGAGGGGTCTGCGGGCGCTCGGCTGAGCTCCCACCCCTCAGGGCCAGCACGCTTGCCCTGCAGGGCCACCGTGACCCCGTCAAACTCCTCTCCCATGTGTGGGCAACGCTGAGGGGCACAGTCGTCTCCCAGAAAGCAGTTTCTGTAGATCTGGTGGCACAGAGCTAAACACAGCGTGTTGATGAGGAAATACCAGGTCTGATGCTCCTCTTCGATGAAGCTGCTTGCTCCCAGACTCAACACGTGGCCCACGGTTCCCAAGAAGCTGAGAAGATCTAACTCTGACCACCTTGAGGTGGACTGAGGTGGATTCTGTGAAAAGGAAAATGAGTTTTGTAAGGAGGAATCTGAATAGTCCACCTTCTTGCTGCACGAGCGTACAATGCTCACTCACAGAAGATAACCTGCTGCTCCTCACGCCCAGCGCCCACTTCACCCCATCTCCCTGGGTAAACCAGAGGACATGGGGACAGCAGGGTGACCCTGCCCTGGATGGCAAGGCTGCAGCTGAGGGACAAGGAGACTGAGGACGTCTGGACCCCCCTTCTCGGCAGTGCCAGAGCTCTGAGCCCGTCCTTCACATCCCGTCCTTGCCTCTCACAGCCATGGCCCACCACTCGAGACCAAAGAACCCCAAGGGCATACTCCACCAATCCAGACATCTAGCTTCTCCATGAACTTGTTGGAAATCCAGAGTTTCCATTACAAAGGTAGGGTATCACATTACTAGCCCTTAAATACACTAATGTAAAGCACTTTAAGTTAAGATTTGGACTCAATGGCTATCAATTAATACTAGTTGGTATTCATTCTATTAACTGTGTGTACCTAGTACATGATGGTGACATGGTGAACCTAGTCAAGCCCTGGAGAATTAACTCCTCTGGGGAACCTCACGCTTGAGCAGGTAGGGAAATGTGTGGGAAATGACAACATAGGTGTTCCCTCAGCTACCGGCCCATGAGGAGGGGTGGGCATCTGCAGCCCCATGACCAGGAGCTGCCCTCTGGGGCCTGGAGTCATTGTCCTGGGTCCCTCGGCCCTGGGCACTGTGAACCAACCAGGACTGCCTGTGTCTCTCTCACCACCCCGCCACCACAACCAGCTGATGAAAGAAGGTGTCAGAGGCCAAAGGCTGCGAGAAAGTCTAGAACAGGAAATTGCACTTTCCGAGGCAGAATGACGATGAGGTCTGAGTTTCTTCTTGATCTCCGTCAGTCAGCCGCTTGCTCCTCATTGCAGCCACTCTAGAGAGGCCCCTGGTCACAGTCCCAGGGACCCCGTCTCTCCAACTGAGAAAGAAGGCATGAGGCTGACAATACAGGTGAGTGTGTGAAGTTGGGATGCTCAGGGGCCTGGGAGACTCGCCGCTATGAATGTGTCCCGTCAGCTCCCACGAAGCGCGGGCCCCCTCCTCAGCTCCCACCAGCACCGTGCCCACTACACACCTGGGGTTTAACCCACAGCTCATCAGTGGAGCAACACGAGCAGCCCATCTGGAAAGCCAGTCCTACCTGACTCAGACACGTTCCGCTGGCAAAAGTCCTGGTGAGAGCAGACACGACCGCACAGAGCAGTGCGGCCGTCAGCGCCATTGCGCCGCCTGCAGCCAGCCACGGGAGGCTGCAGAGGTAGCACGAACTGCGGGCCGCCGTGCACACAGCGCCGTGCAGCGCCACGAGGGCCAGGAGCAGCAGGTAGAAGAGCAGCGAGCACACGGGCGACAGCAGGGGGACGTCCAGCTCAGCCCTGCTGCCCAGCGCCTGCGGGACACTGAGCAGGAGCAGGGCGAGGACCTGGAAGAGGAACGGCAGGTGTCCACCACCGCAGAGACAGGGCGCGCTCCCGCCCCCGCTCAGGAACACCCAATCCCTACGTCCTTTAACCACCAGACACGGGCGACGCTGTCCGCTCAGCGACCCTGCCCGGGGACCGTACCTCCAGGACCAGGGCGGTCCCCGCCGCCATGGAGTAGACGTCATACTGGGCAGCTCGTTTGCTCAGCGACAGCCTCAGTGTCCTCAGCGCATCCAAGTACTGCTTGCGAACCCTGGCTCCCAGGTTGAAAAGGACTTCTGAGTTATTCTCCTCCAAGTACAATCTGATCCAGTTCCCGTGCAATCTTTCCGACACTTTAAACTGCTCAAATCCAGGCTCTAAGAAGAAAAGGCCACACACACAAATCACCAACACGCACACACATGTGTAACCTGCAAGTCCTGTTACTGATAGCATGCGGCAGAGCCTGACACTCATCAAGACAAACTCCCGGGTGGGGTGGCTGCCCCTTAGGAAAACCCCGACCACGGTGATGCCGGCCTGTGCCCGCCCCGTCCTCCCTCCCACTGCCCCACTCGCACGGACACAAGGCCTTCCTTCTCGGCCTCCTCCCTCTCCTCTCTTCTTCCTCAAGGTGCAAGAGTGTAACAGCCCATAAAAGCAGAGCACTAAGAGGCCCTCAGTTCTACAGAATCCCCCCAATCCTCAGGCTCTGTGTGAGGACAGGGCAGGAAGTGCCTGACGCCTGCACCACTGTGGCCCCTTCCCCAAGGCCAGTGGGTCCCCTGCTTTTCCCTGTCAGCGCCTCTTTTACTTGCTTTCCTTCTTCACAGACCCTCCCTGGGAAGGGATGGAAGTCTCCCAGCCCCTCCTGCCACAAGGCTGATGTGCCCCACCTGCTAGATGATCCATGGCTGACACAAAGTCAGGGTGGTGAAACGGCCCATCAGTGGGGCCCAGCCCTGGCTGTGGTAGGCTCCCCTGGGACAGTGGTGGCAGGCTGCCTAAGGTCCAGGGGCTGCCTGCTTCCTTTCAGGGCTGAACCAGACTCAGTCATGACTCGACTGGCTGGCAGAGCAAGAACTTCTTTTCTGAGGCTCCCTGGTACTTAACATGCTTTTCCAACTTAAAGCAGAGCTGTTTCAAGGTGGTCTGGGCCATGCCTTTCAGGGCCTTGGCCCAAACTAACAGCAGCTTGCCCACTCCAGCCTTCCCCAGTCACAGGCTGGCATCCTCGCTGCACAACCCGAATGTGGGCTCAGATGTCCGCAGCCCCACCACTGCCACTGGAGCCAGGGGACCTGCACCAAGTGCTGGGGGCAGGCATGACCCCAAGCCCACTCAGTCTTCTCCCTAGGGCCAGTGGGACTGGGATGACTACATGCCCATTTCAGAGAAGAGGCGACTCAGACACCAGCTCATGGGCTGGCAGTGACAGCTGGGGTAAGTCTGGATCCAAGCTGTCTCCCTTACTTGCTACCCTCTCCTACCCTGAAGTCACAGACATGGGTGCGTCTGTGTCGGGACCCCACTGCCTGGAGTCACAGAGAAATGGGGGACCTAGGCACGCACCCAAACAAAAACTGAACACTGACTACATGCTAGGTGCATCAGGTTCAGGTCCTGCCACTGTGGGCCTGTGGTCCAGCAGGGTTGTCACACACGTGCAAAACCATACACAGTGAGAAATGCTGTGGTGGGAAAGTAGAGGGAATAGCGAGAGACCCTGGTAACACAAAGAGAACTGACATAAGACTGAGGTTAAGCGTGGGGAACAAGGGCGGTCTGACAGTGAAGTGAAAACGTGAAGGATGCCCAGGAACTACCCAGGGGAGCAGGGAGAGCAGCATCCACAGGAACAACACATGCAAAGGTCCTGAGGTGAGCAAAGCCCCCACTACGGCCGAATGACGGTCAGGTGAGTGCGCTGCTTCAGACTTGGCTGGACATCACAGCAGGCCTCGAGACCTGTCTCACTGTCAGACACGTGCCCAGCTCTGTTTCAGGAAACACTGTCACTGATGGTGCAGACGACGGCCATCCTGGAGGTGTGAGGCCCTGGGGTGCCCTCTCACTCTGGGGACTGGCCTCAGTTCATCTCACAGGCTCATACTGGCCACATCCACTGCAGCGCTCAGTTCTCTCAACCCTGCCATCCTGGTTTTGGTCTCCTCTTCATTAGCTCTTGGTATACGAGAAGGGACGCACGGTACCGGCAACAGCTGGTTTGCAAGTTGTTTGTTTCTGGTCCAGACTTAAACAAGCATGTAGCCTGGCCCCATCTCTGACACAGCTGCCCACAGGGAGGCCTCACGATCTAAGAGCTGATGCTCCCCAAGTCCTCTTGCCATTCGGGACACCTGGTTCCCAACCGCTCCCTGCTGGCAGGGTGTGTCTTCCACAACCAACCCAAGTCAGGTTATATCTCAGCACAAACTCATGGCACTCACTCCACTTGGCAGTGCCCCACTACTTCAAGTAGGAAAACACGCCCACATCCCATTGAATGTTGCCTCAAACCGGGAAGTGGCCTTCTCAGCATCCCAACAAGCCCAGCCCCAGCATTAAACATCAGCCTTGACAGACCTGGATGGGCCAGAATGAGCTCTCTAAAGCCATGACCCTCCAGTTCTGTGTCCTCCCTCAGGTCAGGTCAGTCACTCCGTCGTGTCCGACTCTTTGCAACCCCATGGACTGCAGCACCAGGCCTCCCTGTCCAACACCAACTCCCGGAGCTTGCGCAAACTCATGTCCATCCAGTCGGTGTCATCCCTACCAAGCTATAAATAACTTGTTCTTCCTCCCAGCTCAAAAACAAGAACACCCCCTTCTTGGCCCCTATTCAGCTCAGACGACAGCCCGTCTTCCTGTTCCCGTTAGACCCGCTGCACCTACGCCAGCCAGGCATGTGACTCCCTCTGTCAACAAAGCTGCTGAGATCTCACCTTCCAGAGAAATGGTCAGTTCTTAATTCCTCATTTTATTTTTGGCCATGCCCTGCGGCTTGCAGGATCTTAGTTCACCAATAAGGGATTCAACCTGTGCGCCTGCAGTGGAAGTGATGGGTTCTAACCATTGGAGTGCCGGGGAATTCTCAGTTCCTCACTTTATTTTACCTTGAACCCTATTCAACACATCCACTCACTCCCTCCTTCTTGAAGTTTTTTCTTTACTTGGCTTTGTCAACACCAGTCCCATCCTGGCCCTCCAGCACACACACAAGCGCCCTGCCTTACAAACTCTCTCTTTCCACAGCCTTGCCCACTTCAGCAATGGTCACTGCTTCCTTACAGTGTTCAACTGAAAACCAAAGTTGCTTTTTATGCCACTGGCTCGTCCTCTTTGCACTACCTTCAAAACAGATCCAGAAGCAACCCTCTGTCCTGGACTCCACTGCCTGGGCCCTCACCCTCCGCCTGCACTGAAGCACCACACCAGTCTCCTACAGCGCAGCACAGAGTCCTCCTCACGAGCGCCTGAGACAGCCTCTGAAAACGCAAGTGGAAGATTTCAGGCTCTGCAGGACACCCTGCAGGAGCTCTCCACTTACTGAGAATGGAAGAAAGAGCCACTTGAACGCCTAGAAGGCCCTCAGCCCTCATCTCCTTTTGGCTCCCCTCAGTTCACAGTGCTCCAGTCACGATGGCCCCTGGTCACTCCTTGACTGTGTGGGCACATCCTCACCACAGGACCCTCCCAGGCCACCTGCCCCACGGCCCTCACCCACCTGCATGCCCATCCTCCCCTGGTTCAGCATTTTCCTAAGACGCCCATCACCACCTGGCACCCATGGCCATCTTTCTCCCTTTCCCCCCCTGGATGAGAAGCTCCATGATGGCAGAGCTCTCCTCCTGCTGTGCCTCTAGTGCTCTCAGTAGCCTCCGGCTGAAGAGGAACACAGTGAGAAAACTCAGTATCTGCTAAATAAATAAATTTATTACTTTTTCATACTGTTCGTGGGGTTCTCAAGGCAAGAATACCAAAGTGGTTTGACATTCTGTTCTCCAGTGGACCACATTTGTCAGAACTCTCCACTATGACCAATCTGTTTTGGGTGGCCTACACGGCGTGGCTTACAGTTTTATTGAGTTAGACAAGGCTGTGGTCCATGTGATCAGTTTGGTTCAGTTCAGTCGCTCAGTTGTGTCAGACTCTTTGCGACCCCATGGACTGCAGCACGCCAGGCCTCCCTGTACATCACCAACTCCTGGAGCTTGCTCAAACTCATGTCCATCGAGTCAGTGATGCCATCCATTCATCTCATCCTCTGTCATCCCCTTCTCCTCCTGCCTTCAATCTTTCCGAGCATCAGGGTCTTTTCCAATGAGTCAGTTCTTCGCATCAGGTGGCCAAAGTATTGGAGTTTCAGCTTCAGCATCAGTCCTTCTAATGAATATTCAGGACTAATTTCCTTTACAATGGACTGGTTGGATCTCCTTGTAGTCCAAGGGACTCTGAAGAGTTGCCTCCAACACCACAGTTCAAAAGCATCAATTCTTTGGCATTCAGCTTTCTTTATAGTCCAACTCTCACATCCATACATGACTACTGGAAAAACCATAGCTTTGACTAGGTGGACCTTTGTCATGGCAAAGCAATGTTTGGTTAGTTTTCTGTGATTGTGGTTTTCATTGTCTGCCCTCTGATGGGTAAGGATAAGAGGCTTATGGAAGCTTCCTGACAGGAGACACTGACTTTGGGGGAAACTGGGTCTTGTTCTGATGGGTGGGGCCATGCTCAGTAAATCTAAAATTTAATTCAATTTTCTGTTGATGGCTGTGTTCCCTCCCTGTTGTTTGGCCTGAGGCCAGACTATGGTAGGGGTAACAAAAAGATTGGCAGACTTTATTATTTTGGGCTCCAAAATCACTGCAGATGGTGACTGCAGCCATGACATAAAAAGACGCTTACTCCTTCGAAGAAAAGTTATGACCAATCTAGACAGCATATTAAAAAGCAGAGACATTACTTTGCCAACAAAGGTCCATCTAGTCAAGGCTATGGTTTTTCCAGTAGTCATGTATGGATGTGAGAGTTGGATTACAAAGAAAGCTGAGCGCCAAAGAATTGATGTTTTTTAACTGTGGTGTTGGAGAAGACTCTTGAGAGTCCCTTGGACAGCAAGGAGATCCAACCAGTCCGTTGTAAAGGAAATCAGTCCTGAATGTTCATTGGAAGGACTGATGCTGAAGCTGAAACTCCAATACTTTGGCCACCAGATGAGCTGACTCATTTGAAAAGACCGTGATGCTGGGAAAGATTGAAGGCGAGAGGAGGAGGGGACGACAGAGGACGAGATGGTTGGATGGCATCACGGATTCGACGGACATGAGTTTGAGTAAACTCTGGGAGTTGATAATGGGACAGGGAGGCCTGGCATGCTGCAGTCCACGGGGTTGCAAAGAGTCAGACATGACTGAGCGACTGAACTGAACTGACTGAATGAAGATAATGAAGACCTTCTTCAAAAGGATTTGTGCACCACTGTTGTATTCAGTGCCCCTGACCCTGCAGCAGACCAGGCCTCCACTGGAGACTCCTGAACACTCACAGGTAAGTCTGGCTCAGTCTCTTGTGAGGACATTGTTTCTTTGTCCTGGTTCCTGGTGCACACAAGGTTTTGTTTGTGCCCTCCAAGAGTCTGTTTCCCCAGTCCTGTGTAAGTTCTGTAATCAAATTGCACTGCCCTCCAAAGTCAAATTCCCTGGGGGTTCTCAGTCCCTTTGCCAGATCCCCAGGTTGGGAAATCTGTTGTAGGTCCTAGAACTTAAGTCTTAACAGTGCGAGAATTTCTTTGGTGTAATTGTTCTGCAGTTTGTGGGTCGTCTGCTCAGTAGCTCTACAGTGGGGCCAATGGCAACCTACTCCAACAGGGCTTAGGCCACATGCTGCATGACCCACGTCTGCTGTGGTCAGAGCCCCTGCCCCTGTGGCAGGCCACTGCTGATCCATGCCTCCATAGGAGATGTTCCAACACTCAAAAGCAAGTCTGGCTCAGTCTCTGTGGGGCCTCTTGGTCCTGGTGCATACAAGGTTTTGTTTGAGCCCTCCAAGCACCTCTGGCAGATACAGGGTTTGATTCTAAATGCGATTTTGCCCCTTGCTCCTTGGAAGAAAATCTATGACCAACCAAGACAGCATATTAAAAAGCAGAGACATAACTTTGCCAACAAAGGTCTGTCTAGTCAAAGCTATTGTTTTTCCAGTAGTCATGTATGAATGACAGAGTTGAACCATAAAGAAAGCTGAGCACTGAAGAACTGATACTTTTGAACTGTGGTGTTGGAGAAGACTCTTGAGAGTCCCTTGGACTGCAAGGAGATCAAACCAGTCAATCTTAAGGGAAATCAGTCCTGAATATTCACTGGAAGGAATGATGCTGAAGCTGAAGCTCTAATACTTTGGCCACCTGATGCGAAGAACTGACTAATAAAAAGGAATGCACAAGGATCACTGCAGTGCCCATCATGGGAACATCAGGAAGACACCTGGTGCAATGGAAGCATATAGCATGACAGACATATTAGCAGCTGCTAACTGGCTTACCTTTTTCATATGATGGAACATTCTCCTGCAACAACTTGCTAAGCTGTACTGTATTTAAATGTAAAAACCTCAGCTGTTCCCGCATTGGTCTTCCTTCTACAACTGGGAACATAAGACTGCCAATATTGCTCTTTGGAATCGGCAGACCCAGTCCTATTGAGAGTGTTGCAGCCAAATCAGTCTGTTGAACGTGCGTTGGATGTCTGATATCACCTAGAAAAAAGAAAACAGTTTAGGTGACAGGCTCTAGGACATGTGTGATGGTAGTCATTCTTAAATCTGACCTTCTACAAGTAATGTTAAAACAAATCACCCTCTGTGCTTCCTACTAACCACAACCTGGCCTAAACCAACCAAAGCCACAGGATCTGAATCTACTCATGCCTCCAGGTCAGAGGGAATTTACCAGATGAACAGAGGACATGTTAACAGACAATGCAGAAAGAGACTCCACAGGACAACTAACCAAATTCTTCAACAAATAATCATGATAAAACAGGATGGGGATGGAGACTTGTAAGTTAAAGGAGACCTAGAGACATATCAACAACTGAAACTATTTTAAGAAGAATGTGTGCAATTCAAGCCTAAGGGTGCTCTTGAAAACTAGGGAGGTTTTGGAGGTAAGTAACTAAGAGGAAGCTGGCAGCTTCCGGAGAGCAACAAGCTGAACCACAGGTCAGTTGCAAGTGTATAAGCTGAAAAGGGCTCCCCTGGTATCAGAACAACCTTAACGACTGGCCTTGAGAAAGATTCTTGCAAAGTGGCCCAAATGTGATGAGACTGGACTACGGAGAACACTGATTATCAACTGTCAAAAGTGAGGGTTCAGTTAGCCTGAAATGAGTGGAGCCAACAGCTGGGTGGGTCTGACAGCAAGAGAGGCAACATTTCAGAGCCACCACGGAAAGTGACCCTCATTGAGCTCTGCCGGCTCCGCCAATTCCCAGGCTGCAGTGCCCTTACAGGGATGACGGCAGAGATCTCATATGTGGGGGTCAAGGCTTCATTGGAGAGGTCTAGTCAAAGTACTCAATAAATCAACCAAGCTAGGCTTCAACAGTACGTGAACCAAGAACTTCCAGATGTTCAAGCTGGATTTAGAAAAGGCAGAGAAACCAGAGATCAAATTGCCAACATCTGCTGGATCATAGAAAAAGCAAGAGAATTCCAGAAAAAAAACATCTGCTTTGTTGATTATGCCAAAGTCCTTGACTGTGTGGATCACAACAAACTGTGGAAAATTCTTAAAGAGATGAGAATACCAGACCACCTTACCTGCCTCCTGAGAAACCAGACATGGAACAGCAGACTGGTTCCAAATTGGGAAAGGAGTATGTCAAGGCTATATATTGTCACCTTGCTTATTTAACTTATATGCTGGGCCGATTAAGTACAAGCTGGAATCAAGATTGTCGGGAGAAATGTCAATAATCTCAGATATGCAGATGACACTACCCTTACGGTAGAAACTGAAAGTGAAGTCACTCAGTCGTGTCCGACTCTTGGTGACCCTGTGGACTGTAGCCTACCAGGCTCCTCTGTCCATGGGATTCTACAGGCGAGAATACTGGAGTGGGTTGCTATTTCCTTCTCCGGGGGATCTTCCCGACCCAGGGATCAAACCTGGGTCTCCCGAATTGCAGGTAGACACTTTAACCTCTGAGCCACCAGGCAAGCCCCAAGAACCTCTTGATGAAGGTGAAAGAGAAGAGTGAAAAAGCTGGCTTAAAACTCACCATTCAAAAAACTAAGATCATGGCATCTGGTCCCATCACTTCATGACAAATAGATAGGGAAACAATGGAAACAGTGACAGACTATTTTTTGGGGCTCCAAAATCACCCCAGATGGTAACTGCAGCCACAAAATTAAAAGACGCTTGCTCCTTGGAAGAAAAGCTATGAAAAACCTAGATAGCATATTAAAAAGCAGACACATTACTATGCTGAAAAAGATTCGTCTAGTCAAAGCTATGGTTTTTCCAGTAGTCATGTATGGATGTGAGAGCTGGACTATAAAGAAAGCTGAGCACCAAAGAATTGATGCTTTTGAATTATGGTGTCAGAGAACACTCTTGAAAGCGCCTGGACTACAAGGAGATCAAACCAGTCAATCCTAAAGGAAATCAGCCCTGAATATTCATTGGAAGGACTGATACCAAAGCTGAAGCTCCAATACTTTGGCTACCTAATGCAAAGAGCTGACTCATTAGAAAAGACCCTGAAGTTGAGAGACTGAAGATAGGAGGTGAAAGGGATGACAGAGAACGAGATGGTTGGATGGCATCATCGACTCAATGGACACGAGTTTGAGCAAGCTCCCGAAGATGGTGAAGGACAGGGAAGCCTGGCATGCTGCAGTCCATGGGGTCACAAAGACTCAGACACGACTGACTGACTGAACAACAAAAATAAAATGATGACAGGCCCTGTGAGGAGGGCTAGAGTCACTGCAATATAGTATTTAATGTTCGGTTTTCATCAAAACTACATGCAATTATGCAAAGAAACAGGAAAGTATAGCTGAAAGAGAGGAAAAAAAGCAGGCTGCACAAGCGTCTTGGGAAGGGTCCATATGTCAGAGTTAATAGACAAAGTCTTCCAAGCAGTCACTGTAAATATGGTCAAAGAACTAAAGGAAACTAGGCAGGTTTCCTTGCCTAGGAAGGTAGTAAAGGCAGGTAGGATGACAGGGTCCCATCCTTCAGAGATTATCAATAAAGGGTTAGGGGTTAGATGGAAACTCTGAAGGTGAGAAGTATAACTGAAATGAAAAATTTACTATGAAGGCTCAATAGCAGATTTTCAACTGGCAGAAGAATCAGGAAAGACAGATTGATAAAAATTATATAATTATACAATAAACAATTATACAATCTGAGAAATGGAAAATCTTCCAAATTTGATGAGAAACATTAATTTATACATCCAAGAAGCTCAATGAACTCCAAGCTGTATAGATATAAACTACAAGGAGTGAAGTGAAACTAATTAGATTAATGGTTGATTTCTCATCAGAACCACAGAAGCCAGAAGGCAGCAGGACAGCATGTGCAAAGAGCTGAGAGAACCAGAATGTTATATCTAGCAAAACTACCTTTCAAAAAATCAAGGGGAAATGAAGACATCCCAAGACTAAAAAAAGCAAAAAAGACAATTCATTATTAACAAACTTAGGACTCAAAAAACTAAGATCATGGCATATGGTCCCATCACTTCATGGTAAATAGATGAGGAAAAAGTGTACTTTATTTTCTTGGGCTCTAAAATCACTGTGGATGGTGACTGCAGCCATGAAATTAAAAAGATGCTTACTCCTTGGAAGGAAAGCTATGACAAACCTAGACAGTGTATTAAAAAACAAAGACATCACTTAGCCTACAAAGGCCCACATAGTCAAACCTACAATTTTTCCAGTAGTCATGTACGTATGTGAGAGGTGGACGATAAAGGCTGAGTGCCAAAGAATTGATGCTTTCGAACTGTGGTGCTGGAGATGACTCTTGAGAGTTCCGTGGACTGTAACGAGATCAAATCAGTCAATCCCAAAAGAAACCAACCCTGAACATTCATTGGAAGGACTGATGCTGAAGGCCACCTGATGCAAAAAGCCAACTTATCAGAAAAAGCCCTGATGTTTGGAAAGATTGAAGGCAAAAGGAAAAGAGGGCAGCAGAGGGTGAGATGGTTGCATGGCATCACTGAATCAATGGACATGAGTTTGAGCAAACTTGGGGAGATACTGAACAGCAGGGAAGCCTGGTGTACTGCAGTCTGCTGCTGCTGTTTAGTCGCTTCAGTTGTGTCCAACTCTGTGTCACCCCGTAGACGGCAGCCTACCAGGCTCCTCTGTCCCTGGGATTCTCAAGGCAAGAATACTGGAGTGGGTTGCCATTTCTTTCTCCAATGCATGGAAGTGAAAAGTGAAAGTGAAGACGCTCAGTTGTGTCTGACTCATCGCGACCCCATGGACTGTAGCCTACCAGGCTCCTCCATCTATGGGATTTTCCAGGCAAGAGTACTGGAGTGGGTTGCCATTTCCTTCTCTGTACTGCAGTCTATGGGGTCACAAAGAGAGGGACGTGATTTAGCGACTGAACAACAATTTAAACCTGCTTTACAAGAAATACTAAAGGAAGTTCTTCACACTGAAAGCTAGTGACTCCAGATGGTAATCTGGATCCACTTTAAAGGTAACTATATAGTTATAAAAGATAGCATAAAATGTATTTTTCTCTTAAATTCCAAAACAATTATATAGAACTATAGGTATGTATGTATCAAACCACATATATATATTGTCAGCCTACAACATATAGAAATGGCATGTATCTGACAAACAGCAGAGCAGAGGTGAGTAGAAGCAAAGTTCTAGTGGAGAAAGAAATGACACGGTAAGAAAATAGACGTCTACACAAAAACTTGTTCAGAATCATTCTTAGTGGAACGAAATGTTTCCAAAAAGTGGAAACAACCCAAACATCTATCAATTGATGGATGGATAAACAAATGTAGAACATATATACAATGGAATATTACTCAGCAAAAAAAAACCCAAAGGAATGAAGTCCTGACACCTGCTATAGGATGAATGAACCCTGAAAACATTACACTAGTAAAAGAAGTTGGTCACACAAGACCATTTATTCTTGTTGTTTTGTTCAGTTGCCAAGTAGTGTCCGATTCTTTGTGGCCCCAAGGACTGCAGCACACCAGGCTTACCTGTCCCTCACCATTTCCCGGAGTTTGCCCAAGATCATGTCCATTGAATCGGTGATGCCATCAAACCATCTCATCCTCTGTTGCACCTTTCTCCTGCCCTCAATCTTTCCCAGCATCAGGGTCTTTTCCAGTTAGCTGGCTCTTCACATCAGGTGACCAAAGTATTGGAGCTTCAGCATCAGTCCTTCCAATGAATATTCAGGGTTGACTTCCTTTAAGATTGACTGGTTTGATCTTTTTGCAGTCCAAGGGACTCTCAAGAGTCTTCTGCAGCACCACAGTCACATAAGACCATTTAGTACATGGCTCTATTTGTACGGAACGTCCAGAAAAGGCAAATCTGTAGAGACAGGAAGATTAGTGGTTGCTGGTGGCTGAGGATGGGGATGATACTGGGTTGGAGGAAGTGGAAGTGACCAGTAAAGAGGTGATGCTATATCCCAAAATTGACATTAACGATGGCTAACCAACTCTGAATGAACTGAACGGCAGGTGTGGAGTCCTGGCTCAAAAAATAAGCTTGATAAGAACACAGACTATAACTACTCTCAAAGCAAACAAACAAGTCAACAAAACAAGGAAGAGCTTACTGTGAGCAGCCCACACAGTCAGTCCCTAGGCACAGCTGCCCTGGCCCTTCCTAAAGACGTGTCAGGCCTCCCAGGGAGGATATCCTTAAATGCCCATCTGAGCCATGAAACATCAGCAGTTAAGTTAAAAATAACCCTAAGGTTCCTACAATATTAATGGCAACAGGCCAGCCTAGCTGTCCCTGCTCTTCCTCAGACTACAAGCTCCCTGTCCGCAGTGCCAGCACAGCGCCCAGCTGACTGCGGGTGCTCAGTGTCCTCTGCGCGGTGGGGGGACAGACAGATGGGAGAGGGTGCATCCGGCCTGGGGCTCTCCCTGAGGCAGATGAGCGCCACGGGACCCTGCTCTGGGTGTGCATGTGTCGGAAGCCAGTGCTCCAGCGGGTACTGTGCACACTCACTGGAAGGCAGGCTCCAGCTGGGCACCCAGTAAAGGCTCAGGTTACAAGACCCAATACCTGATGCCTTTGGAGTCAGACATCTAAGAGGAGGTAGTGCTGTAAAAAGACAAAAGGAAACAGGTGGAGCTTCTTCCCCAGCCAGTCCCTGCTCAAGCGGAAGGTTAATTCATTCAATATTTTCAGTACCCATTAAACACGAGGCAATGCTGAGGCCCAAGGCATACAGAGATGCATAAAACAGACCTGGCCCTGCCCCATTCTAGCACACAGTGAGAAGACAGATGTACACGAATTACACAGTTCATTCTGTGGTGATAAACCATGATAAGGACAATGGTGGAGTGGAAGAGGGGTGTGAGAGATGACCATAGGAAAGGTGAGACCAAGGATGAGCGTATGAGCAGGCTGAGGGGCTGAGAAGGATGGGTCAGGGCATGTGAGGAAGAGCTGAACACCTGGAGGATGTGTTGGAGAGGTCAGGATATGATGAGGAATGGGGATGTGCCTACAGACAAGGCCGTGAGGGAGGCAAGAAGCCTCATGTGGAGTTTTCACTTTATCCGAGGTTCAGCTTCTGAAAGGTGGTATGTATGGGAGCCTGGGATAGTCTGGCACAGGTGAGGAGCAGGGAGACGCCCAGGTTTCCAACCTGAAGAACTGTGTGAATGGCACCATCTGTTGACAGGGATACAGGGAGGGCCGACTGCAGGTGTCGTTGTCTCGTTTGCTCTACCTGTGGGCGATCCAAGAGGACGTCAGTAGGCAGTGGGGCTGACAGTTTGGCGGTTGAGAAAGAGGCACAGCTGGAGGATAAATCCAACAGGTGTGAGCCCATTCATGGCATTTAAAACCATGGAAGAGCATGCGATCATCTCAGGGGTAAATGCAGAATCAAACAGAGGCAGTCCAGAAAAAAGGCTAGGGCAAGGTTGCTGAGCCAGCCAAGAGGACTGGACAGCAGAGTGAGAGGTAGAGGGGACCCAAACAGGTGGATAGTCCCATGACCAGGGGTCAGCAGAGCCAATGGTACTGAAAAGTATCAGAGAGTCCAGTATGCAAACAGCTGTAAGCTGACGGCCTTTGTGTCCTAAAGGGAGGTGGCAGGGGTGTCGTGCAGGCCTGTGCTGAATGAGGGGCCTGGTGTGCTTGGGCTGGAGAGCTGAAGTGTGTCTCAGTGCTGACGATAGGCTCTCAGATAGTCCTACTCTGACTGGCCTATGACTCTAGCTGACATTGCTATCTATTCAAGATCTTCTCAAATAGTAGATTCTTTTTCTTAAGTTTAATTTCTTATGTTTCTCTCAATTCATACATGCAGTTCAGATGTCCCTAAGCCTCTGGCACTTTTTATTATTTAGATATCCAGGCAGTGGCATTCATACCACACAAGAAACATAAATTCCAAATCCTGACTGGTCCTCGACCCATTAATTTTCATTCTCATTATTCAGGGTTTTTCAAATGTACAGAGCTTCCAAAAATGGTTTTTAAAATTAAAATCAAAGTATAGAAAACGAAGAAATAAAGTTCAGGTTTAAACTGTTAAACATCCAAATCTCACCAGGTTTCCTTTCAAATGCAGAGCTAATGAAGACCAGAGCAGTGTTTACTTCCTCCATGGAAGAGGCTCCGTGACCTCCAGCTTCAGACATGCCGTGATCACCACAGAGAACCAGCAGACTGGGCAACAGAGTCTCTCTCTCCTGTGAGGCAAAGGGAAACATTTCAATTGTACCCAGGCTAGGGAGAACACATGATCTTGTTAAGAAAACTACTTCAGATTTCAGCTTTGCTTTGTAAATAGTAGCTTTCTAAATGAGTGTTTTTTCTAACCTATGAACTTACAGTCAGATTAAAAGGTCAAGGTCAAGTAATATCATAAATAGGAACTTCACTGGCAGTCCAGGGGCTTCCCTGGTGGCTCAGCTGGTAAAGAATCTGCCTGCAATGCAGGAGACCTGGGTTCGGTCCTGGGTTGGGAAGATCCCCTGGAGAAGGGAAAGGCTACCCCACTCCAATATCCTGGCCTGGAGAATTCTGTGGACTGAATAGTCCGTGGGGGTGCAAAGAGTCGGACACGACGGAGCGACTTTCACTTCCTGGCAGCCCAGTGTTAGCACTCTGCCCTTCCACTGCAGGCGGCTTGGGTGTGATCCGCGGTCAGGGAACTAAGATGCCACGTGTGGCCAGAAAAACCCCAAAACTAACAACAGTAATGTCTTAAGTAAGACAAATGGGGTTAAATGGAGGTCACGGAGCACAGGACAGTCTTCTCTGTCACACACAGCTGCCCCCTGCCCCTCGGGCTCTGGCCAGTGGCTCCTACTACCCCTGGGATGGACCTGATAGGCTCTGAGTTGCCCGTGCTGCTTCTTCGCCTGGAACATACCTTCATACGTGGCTTACTGGCATTCCCACCCCCTTCAAACCTCTGCTCGCCACTCACATGTCCTCAAAGACTGCTCTGATCACGCGGTTTAAAATTTTGGCCTTTCTCTCACATGTACACTCTTCCTGCCCTATGTTCTGCTATAGCATCGACTACTGTCCAGGATAACTTTGACTCACTGATTATGCTCCCTGTTTTCCCTCCTGGCTAGAGGCTAAGCTCCTCAAGTGTCTGTATAGGAACAGTGACAGAGAAGGCGTTCAGGAGAAATTATCTGGATAAACAGGTGGAGATACTAAGAGCCACTCTTTGGCAGGGCCGATGGGTATAGTGCCCAGCACACAGCACGTGCTACTGTAGGTGAAGCTTGCCTGAGTGCTGGTGGGCATGAAGCTCACGCAAGGTCACCCGAGTTCACTTTCTTTTTTTTTCCGAGGTCACTTTAGAAGCTACATTTCCTCCAGGAAATACTGGCACCTTGACATGCTAACCTCTGACAGCAGTGAGGTGTGGATCTTCATCAGGATGCTGTCCATCTCACTGAGCTTGTGCCCAATCAGGGGGCTGTTGGGCCCAGAAATGTGGCCGATGTGGTCCAGCCCGAGGTAGTGCAGGATTAACACATCCCAATCCTGCCTTTTTAGTACTTTATCCAAATGCCTTGTAACATTATTATCCACCTTTAAAGGGAAAAAAAGCACATATCAACAGCTTCCCTAATTTCCCTGGTGTTCACTCTTCAACAAAAAGTGACATGGTTATTTTCAAATCTAGTGGGTTTTTTTTAGGTACTTGGATTTGTGGGAGTTTGCAAAGACCAAAAACAAAACAAACCTCCAAAATAAAAACTGTCTTGTTTGCATTAGATCAAGCTTTCATTAATATTTTTATGTCCCTAAGTTATGAACAGAACATATCATAATTTAAATGCACAAGGGTTGTTCTGACAAAACAATTCTGTAAGATCACTACTGGAGCATAAACTAAAGCTGACCAGATGACTAAGTTCAACAAGTACCAGGTTGTTACGAGGCAACTAAGGGCTAAGGGCAGTTAAGTAAGACAAGAGTACCCAGAGTTCAAGAAACCAGCGGAGTGAAGCTGAGGGCATGTGTGTCTCCTATAAGAACACTATTCAGGGAGGAAAGAGACACACACTCAGTGGTTCCCAGTAAAACAGCCCCTGACAGACCCATTAGCCTGGAGAGCCCTAACTCCTTAGATGGCCCTTCTCCCTTCCACTGAAGAATCTACCATGAAGAGAAGTACTTCTGAGTGGTCATACAGGAAGGGCAGTAATTGCTGTGTCTACACAGATCACCTTCAGTGAAGCAGACACTCCAAAAGGCCAAGCAAACGGACCCATCCAACGCCAGCTCAGACTTGCGGTGCCTCTGCTCCATGGGCCAGCTTTCTCACTGTGGGTCTAATTATGCCCTTTTCCTCTTTGGAGGCTGCACACCCACAAGGTCGATGCCTCTTGGGACCAGGCTCACCCAGCACACGTCTGCCCTCATGCTGCCAACCTCACAGAACAGCTGCGAGGCAGGATCTCTGGCAGACCATGGAGACCTCGGGCTCTGCCATGCACAGATGCTGTCAAAACTCAGGCTGAGGGACTCTTCCTGGGAAGCCCTTCCTGACTGTTGGTACCCATCAACAGGTACCTATCGGGGCTTAAGGGTCAGAGAACTAAGCTCACACCTGTGTCTGGGTTTATGTTTCTGGCTTGGAGCTGATTATGGGAAGGAACAAGTTTTTCAATCTCTCCATACTATTTTTAATGTATTAATAAAAGTCACATACAACACAACGTTGTCCCTTGCTAAGAACAGGGTACCAGGATGTCTCATAGGATATATTTTTCTTAAAAACTGACCTCTGTATAATCTGATACAAAAAAAGAGGTTGTTCCATCGTATTCCACAAAATGCTTTGGGAATAATTTCACCCATGTTTCATCTCCATAAAAGATGATTCTTTTCCCAGCAGCTTTGGCTCGTGTGATCACATTGTCTTCCAGCAATGTGGGAGAATTGAGATTCCTGACGACATCGATGAAGCCAGGGAGGCTCCCTGTCAGCAACGCCTGCAGGAGGGAGCACTCAGGAGTCAGTCCATGGAATCTGCGCATGGTGTCCAAGTGTGGTGTGGTGATCAGGGACGGAAATGACTTGATGACTAAAGGAGGCAGGCATAAAGCTAAAGCGACCCCAGTACTGAAGGCTGGGTCAGTATTAGGACAAAGCAAGGCACAGATTCTGGGCAAAACCAGCAAACTAAGTAGTGAAGAACTGACCATATTTCGGTTAATGAGAGAATAAAGGAGGCGGCTGTGGGGTAGCCGGATGATAGCTGTGGTCAAAAAGGCAGCAATGGATGTTAACAACTGAAGCAAATGTCAAAGGGTGGCAAGAACTTTGTATATCCAAACCCACTGACTGGTCCTCACCTAAGCTTCAGATCTGCCTCATGCAACAAGCAAACTCCTGACCCTAAAATCCAGCAATTCTATTGTCCACCCCTGAGAAAGAATAGCTTCCCATTCACCCAGGGAGGAAAGCAGCCTCTAAACAAGAATTCTCAGGAATTCTCAACAGTAAACTGGCCCAGGGATGCTGGTAGGATACGTTCCCCAACCGCCTCCCCCACTGCGCCCTGCCACCATCGTAATTATTGGAAAAGTGGGTGGGTGTAACATGTCCTCACAACTTTCTGATAGAGAATTAAGTCGATCACTCCTCCATCCCACCCCTGTACTTGAGCAGAGCCATGGGTCTCTGGGATCTGGAGTGAGCTTGTGACCCATAACACTGGCATCCAGGGTCCTGTGTGATAAAAATAAATAGGAATCTGGACAATGTGAACAGTGTAACAATTCTGCTAAGACTGCTCTATCAGCAAATTAACAAAAATGAATTTATCTTGGACTTGGAGAGTGAGGAACTTGGCAAATCCTCTCCCCCAACAGCAATGATAAATCTGGATAAAACTGTCAAAAACAACCACTACAGGACTTTATACAAACTGAAACATTCTTATTCAAAACGAACTTTCAAATTCCAGTAAGAGCTGTGAGCACTTGTGGTGTTTTATCATGGGCTGAGGTGACAGAATTCCAGCTGAGCTATTTAAAATCCTAAAAGATGATGTTTTTAAAGTGCTGCACTCAATATGCCTGCAAATTTGGAAAACTCAGCAGTGGCCATAGGACTAGAAAGGGTCGGTTTTCATTCCAATCCCAAAGAAGGGCAATGCCAAACAATGTTCAAACTACTGTACAATTGTGTTCGTTTCACATGCTAGCAAGGTTATACTCACAATCCTTCAAGCTAGCCTTCAGCAGTACATGAACTGAGAACTTCCAGATGTACAGGCTGGGTTTAGAAAAGGCAGAGGAACCAGAGATCAAACTGCCAACAATCACTGGATCATGGAGAAAAGCAAGGGAATTCCAAAAACAAACAAACCAACAAAAATAAACACAAAAAAACCAATCTACTTCTCCTTTACTGAGTACACAAAATACTTTGACCCTGTGGATCACAACAAACTGTGGAAAATGCCACAGATGAGAGATGCAACTATGACCTTACTTGCCTCCTGAGAAACCTGGACTGGTTTAGAATTGGGAAAGGAGTATGCCAAGGCCATATATTGTCACCTGCTTATTTAACTTCTATGTAGAGTACATCATGTGAAATGCCTGACTGGATGAATCACAAGCTGGAATCAAGAATGCCAGGAGAAATATCAATAATCTCAGATATGCAGATGATATCACTCTAATTGCAGAAAGTGAAGAGGAACTAAAGAGCCTCTTGATGAGGGTGAAAGAGAGTGAAAAGCTGGCTTGAAATTCAACATTAAAAAAACTAAGATCATGACATCCAGTCCCATCACTTTATGGCAAATAGAAGGGGAAAAACTGTACACAGTGGCAGATTTTATTTTCTTGGGCTCCAAAATCACTGCAGACAGTGATTTTGCCAACAAATGTCCACACAGTCAGAGATGTGGTTTTTCCATTAGTCCTGTATGGGTATGAGAGTTGGACCATAAAGAAGACTGAGCGCCAGAGAATTGATGCTTTCGAACTGTGGTGCTGGAGAAGACTTCTGAGAGTCCCTTGGACAGAAAGGAGATCAGACCAGTCAATCCTAAAGGAAATCAACCCTGAATATTTGCTGAAGGGGCTGATGCTGAAGCGCCAATACTTTGGCCACCTGATGCAAAGAGCCAACTCATTAGAAAAGACTCTCATGCTGGGAAAGATTGAAGGCAAAAGGAGAAGGGGGCAGCAGAGGATGAGATGGTTAGACAGCATCACTGACTAAACAGACATGAATCTGAGCAAACCCTGGGAGATAGTCTAGGACAGATGAGCCTGGTGTGTTGCAGTCCACGGGGTTGAAAAGAGTCAGGCATGACTTAGTGACTTAAAAAACAAGCTCCCCTCTCGCACACTCAGCCATGAGTACCAGGAGGGGTACCCACCCAATTTGGCGCTCCATCAAAAAGTCCCATGCCAGGGACAAACTGAAAACAGGGAAGGCCAACACCATAGCTCTCTGAGGCTTCAATGCAGTTTGTAGAAAGACAGAACAGAAAACTTAGAAATGAAGTCTGGGGCATGGGACGATTGCGGCCGAGCTCTGTGAGCTCCCACACATTCCTGGAATCTGGAAGGCTGCGTGCATACAGGGGGTGAGCATACACTCAGGAGAATAGAGAGAACTGTTCAGATAACAGAGCTATCTGCTCCTTCCAGCTGTTTGAGACTGGCTCAGACAGTAAGAGTTAGGGAGATGCATAAACTACCTGAAGATGAGTGTGTGGCCCAAACCATACACAGGTACTTTTGCAAAGGGCAGAGGCCATATCACAGGTGTGTTTAAGCACAACCTCTGACCAGTCACTGGGTCACCACTCAGCCATGCTCACCTGGCTGCCCCTTAGGAAGACTAGCTTTAAAAAACAAACAAGAGCAGAGACCTCAATGAGTGTACATCTCAGGACCTCGTGAGAAACAGACTCTAGAACTAGCTTTAGCAAGCCAACACAACAGTGACAACCGCCACCACTCCTGGGATGGGGATCAGAACCCAGAGTTGAGATGGGAGTTACACAGATATATATAGCTGTTAAATCTCATCAAATTATTATACTGTACTATATGAAAATTCTATCTCAATGAGATTATGTTTTAAAACTTGATCTTTTCACACCAAAAATCTGCTCTCTAAAGGCAACCAGTTACTTTGGATGAACATCTTTTCATCCTTTTGTTCTGTATGTGTATACTCACAAATATAGAAAGTACACATTTTATCAAAATGTTAACTACACAAATAATTCTGCAACTTGCTTTTTTCACTTAATAACATCACAAACCTCTTTCAGCAGAAAGCATACAGGTATTTCACCTTTTTTTTAAACAGCTACAGTACTCCAGAGTTTGGATGTACAGTATATTTATCCAAGACTGATTTAATGACCACTGCTTTTAAAAAGCTTCCAGTTTGGAAGTGCCGTTGGACCTGCGGTGTGAAGGCATAGTGTCGTCTAGGTGAGGCAAAGTGGGGCTTTCCAGAGTGCAACACAGCAAACTGTGAGAATCCACTATGAGTGGGGGTGGCACACATGGGGGACGTGTGCTCTGCCGGATAAGACACAGGAGGGGAAACGGGCTTAGATGAGGGTGGAGAGAGAACAAAGGCAGGACCACGCACCCTGAGGCCTGAGTTAGGAGGCAGAGCGTGTGCCGCTGGGGATTGTCAGGAGTAGAGCAGAGTGACCGACCTGTTCGGACAGGTTCTGGGTGAAAAGAGGTGCTGGCAAGGGTTTTACAGTCCAAGGTTTTACAGGCTGAGATCACAGCAGACTGGACAAGGGTGGGAGTAGTCCAGGCTGAGTCTAATTCAGTCACACGAACAGTGTAAAGAGATCTGTTCACCTCATTTCTTGTGAAGAGTGTTACAATTAACCTTTCAATGTTTACAGTATGCTAGACAGATTAACTTGCCTTTGATCTGATTACTAGTAAAGAATCTTTTCATGTGCTTACGGCCATTTCAATTTCTTCCTATGTGGATTTCTTTATATCCTTTGTCCAGTTGCCACCAGACTGTTGCCTCTGATCAGATCCTCCTTACATATTATGGGATTTACATCTTGTTTGCTGTGTTAACTGTAAATAAGTTTCCTCATTTATCGTCAGTGGACTTTTGTTTACAATGTCTTCCACCACTCACGGTCGAATCTGTCCATTCCTTCCTCTGGGCTTTCATAAGACACTTCCCTCCTCCTCCCACTAGTTTGAGTTCACACTGACATTTTCAAGAAGGGCAGGGACTAGCTGGTATCCCCTTCAACCCAGGACACATGCAGGTAGCAACCAAGTTATAGCTGAGAGCCTAGGAACTTGTGAGCGGCTGTCTGTCAGCTCCTTGGAGGCTTTCCTGGGGCTGCTGTGGTCTTGGGAACAGTAGTTTCTTGTCTTCTGAGAATTAAGGAGGGCTCTGCAGAGACTACTGAAAGAGAATCTGACCTGGTCACATCATTCTGCAGTATCACTGTAGAACACATGTGACCAGCGGAGGCTCTGGAAGCAGACAAACACAGGCTTATGCTCGGCTTCTAACATCAGCTGTGAGATTTTTACCACTTCAAGCCCGCTTCCTCACCTGGGACACGAAGAGAGTGGCACCGACATCATGGAGCCTCATCCGCGGGTTGTGGTCAGAGGGCAGAAAACAGTGCCTGCACCACGGGCATGCTGCAGCCAGTGGTAACTGCTCATTATTACAACTATAAATTCCCCCAAAAGGAAAGGCATTCATAAATTAGTTACAATGTTTTAGAAGGAAGTTACTTATCAGGCTTCCCTGATAGCTCAGTTGGTAAAGAATCTGCCTGCAATGCAGGAGATCCTGGTTTGATTCCTGGGTTGGAAAGATCCCCTGGAGAAGGGAAAGGCTATGCACTCCGGTATTCTGGCCTAGAGAATTCCATGGACTGTATGGTCCATGGGGTTACAAAGAGTCAGACACGACTGATCTATTTTTACTTTCAGTTACTGTATAATCTTAACACAAAATAGAAGTTGAACATGCTACTAGAGACATCAGTCTTGAATTTTTAAAACTGTGTTTCATGACAATTGTATCAGCACCTCCAGATGAACTAAGTCCCTTCCCTAAGTGGAAGCAGGACAGGGGGCACACTTTTTAGTGTGTGCCTTACCTGATCCTATCAAATTCCAGAGCTGTAAAATCCTAACTCCAGGATGGAGTTTCTGTATACCAGTTCCTCACTGGTGAAGATGAGGAGCAAGAACCTACAAGGACCCAACACAAAACACTGGTTTGGTGAAATGAAACAAACTGGAGATAGGAGGACCACAGTGGTCAATGTGCAGGACTGAACAGAACCTAGAGCAGGCATGCTCACACACTTTTTCTTACAAAACTGCCCAGATTCCTAATAACACTTTTCCTGTCAAAACGACGGAGGCATGAGTGCCTTTCATACTTCTGCTGATCCTGATGGTCATGAGCCTGGATGCCTTTCTCCCAGCTTCCACAGGGCTGTTCGGCAGAATGACTGCTCACGGAGAAGCTGCTCCTGAGCAACCTGACTACAGGGGCCTCTGCCGCTGCCCATCACTCTCTTCATGTTCTCCTCCTCAGTTTCTTCCGTAGCACTTACCACTTACTGAAACTGTTCTGACTATTTATTTGTATACTTACATGTTTTCTGTCCCCTCAATTAGAAAGTAAGCTTCATGAGTATAGGATAGTTGTTGTCTCGTTCTTCACTGAATCCCTCTTATCTAGAACAGCATGCGATACATAGCAGATGCTCAATAAATACCGCTGAATGAAGGACAAACCACATCCAAAAGTGGCAGAGAGAGTGGGACACTCAAGAAAAAGAGTCTTTTATTAAGATGCAGCATTAACCCCTTCAACCCCAGACTGTTTTCCTCATCCAGGAGTCATTTCTTACTAATTCTGCCCCCAAGCTTTAAATCAAAGTGACTCCTTCTCAACAAATAATAAGGTGTCACATGATCATCCACAGATGTAAAGCTCAGCTAGAGACTTCTACACCACACTAGTCTGCAGTATATTCACAAACTTTTAAGCGCCTGTCCTGTTCTGATCCTTCAGATCCAAGCATGAATGTAATTTCCTCAGACAGGCTTTTCTGAACCAGCCCAATCTAAACTGGGCCCCTAGCTGACACTGAACATCACACCCTGTTCTTTATGATTATGCATTAATCACATTTTGTAATTGCATATTTACTTATATGTTCATTTCTTTAATGGCTATACCTCTCATTACAGACTGAAAGTTCCATGAAGGCAGAGATAGTATTTTAAGAAAAAAAGGTTTTGAGCCAATAAATAAAGCTTTACGCTTTTCTTTCTCCATAGTTCTTGAGTAAAGTCTCGCCCACTAGGCTCAACACCTGAAGGTGGTTTATACAGTAAAAACAAAGATATCTACTGAGAACAGAGCATGTTGATTTGGTCACTGTATATACTAAAATACTGGATGAGTCATTTAACTTATTTGAGTTTGCTTCCTCACCCAAAAAATCAAGAGGATGAACTAGATAACCCTAGAGTCTCCTCTCAGAATTCTAATTGACTGATGATTAAAAACAGCAGGATAGCAAAGAAGATGGTATTTCTTGGATTAGACTGGCCGAGAAGATCTGGCTCTAAATCTCTTATGCCTCCCATGAAGCATGAGCTCTGGCTACCTGACAGAGGGCATAAATCATGAGTCTCAGTTCCAGTCTATCTGGAAGGCTTCTTCAGCATTCTACTGCCCCAGCCAGGAAGACAGCACCAAAGCAGTTTCCACTTAGCTAAAACTGGGACTCCAAGTAAAAGACAACAGAACATTCTTCTAAAGCTATGAAAGAGCCCAACCATAATCTATAATATATTAAGTCAAACTGTTTACCTTGATTCGAGGCATAGTAACTGTAGGTGGCTTTGCTTCAGCCACAAAACTGAGAGATGATCCCTTTTCCACAAGATAAGTTGTGTAGGGCATAAATTTCACACCCTTTGACCCAAACACAAAATCATCTCTCAAGGCGTCTATCAGCATAATAACAACTTTACTGAAGAGAGGTGGTGGAAGCTCGGTCCAGTTGGAACTGGCTCCTAAAGTGTTTGAAAAAGAAAAAGGAAATTGAATTTTAAACTCTTTTTTAGTATCCAGGAACTTTATAATCTGGTTTCTCCCTACTTCTCCAGCACATACTCTGTCACATCTACACATCCTGACCCAAAGGAAAGGGCCTGTTCTTGGGAAACAACGCTGGGGTCAGAAGGTGGGTAACAAGTAAGCTCAGGGCCCCCCGTATTAAGGAGAGAATAGTCCTTAGCATTGTGGGGTGTACTGACACTGGGGAGTTCCTTCTTGCGAGTCCTACAATGGGATATCAGGGAGCTTGATATAAAACAGCGCTGCAGGAAATGGATGAGCGAGCATTTACACAGTCTTTCCATAGTTATCAGCTAGTATTGTGTGGATTTGGTCCAAAACGCGAGTTCTTTTACCTAATATTTATTGCTGGGTATTTGAGGGTTCTGCGCAGGGAGGTCTTTACTGGAAAAAACGGGCCCCTGGACGAATGCCATAGAAGAAAACACGAGAGGTCGCAGGAATCTTACCTGCTCTGTCTTACTGAGCAAAACGGATGCATGGAACAGGGAGTGACACAAACATCTGCTCAGGGAAGGGGGTTGGGGTTCACTGGATGAGTACAGCGGGGGAGAGTCTTACTTTTTACGGGTACAGAGAGCTTACTTTGCGGTGACCAGGGACGAAGATCTTAGTGGGGCAGGTAGTGGTGCTGGCCACAAAGTTGCTGGATATAGAAAAGGAGGCTGGAGCGGCAAGAAGGGGATCCTAGGAGGTTGGGATCAGACTGGAAGAGACCCCCCGGGAGCCCCGGGAGCAGAGACGCTGGGTGGAGGGGGGCGCAGTCGTACCAGCAGAGGGTTCGGAGGCCGGGGACTCTGCTTGCCGCTCCGCTCCGGAAAAGACGGGAGTCGGGAAGAAGCCCCGGAGGAAGAGCGCGACGCCGAGCACCTCGATCACGACGCAGCCGGCAGCGAAGGTCCCGGAGCCCAGCCGCATCGTGCCCACCCTCCGCACCGAGATCCGGATTCCCGGACACCGGGTCACTTCTCGCCTAGGAGGAGAGGCTCTCGCCTCCACCGCCGCCAAGTAGGCAGGAGCCGAAGAACCCGACAGACTAGCTGCGTCCTTTCCGCGTTCGCCGTCGCGCCGGAAATACGCATCAGGAGTCAGCCGCTTCCGAAGAGGCGGCCCCGGGCTCCGACTGTACTTCCGGTGCACCTGCCTACAAGGCCCCGCCCCTCGGCCGCTTTATACCGTTTGAGCCGCTCCAGGTTGATGCTGTGAAAGAGCTGCACTCAGCGTGCCAGCAAATGGGGAGAACTCAGCAGTGCCCACAGCGTTGGAAAAGGTCAGTTTTCATTCAAGAAGGGCTATGCCAAAGAATGTTCAAACTATCGCACAATTGCCCTCATTTCACATGCTAGCAAGGTAATGCTCAAAAATCCTTCAACCTAGGCTTCAACAGTATGTGAACCGAGAACTTCCAGATGTACAAGCTGGATTTGGAGAAGGCAGAGGAACCATAGATAACATTGCTAACACCCGTTGGATCACAGAAAAAGCAAGGGAAAACATCTGCTTCACTGACTACGCTAAAGCCTTTGACTGTGTGGAGCAAACAAACTGTGGAAAATTCTTAAAGAGATGGGATTATCAGACCACCTTACCTGTTTCCTGAGAAATCTGTATGCAAGTAAAGAAGCAACAGTTAGAACTGGACATGAAACAATGAACTGGTTCCAAATTGGGAAAGTGCAGTTCAGTTCAGTCGCTCAGTCATGTCTGAGTCTTTGTCACCCCATGGACTGCAGCATGCCAGGCTTTCCTGTCCATCACCAACTCCCAGAGCTTGCTTAAACTCATGTCCATTGAGTCGGTGATGCCATCCAACCATCTCACCCTCTGTCATCCTCTTCTCCTGCCTTCAGTCTTTCCCAGCATCAGGGACTTTTCCAGTGAGTCATTTCTTCGAATCTGGTGGCCAAAGTATTGGAGCTTCAGCTTCAGGATCAGTCCTTCCAAAGAATATTCAGAATTGATTTCCTTTAGGATTGACTGATTTGATCTCCTTATAGTCCAAGGGACTCTCAAGAGTCTTTAACACCACAGTTCAAAAGCATCAGTTCTTTGGTGTTCAGCTTTCTTTATAGTCCAACTCTCACATTTGTACATGACTACTGGAAATACCATAGCTTTGACTTGACGGACCTTTGTTGGCAAAGTAATGTCTCTACTTTCAATATGATGTCTAGATTTGTCATAGCTTTTCTTCCAAGGAGAAAGTGTCTTTTGCCCCTCCTATTGTTTTGTTGGGGCTTCTCCATTGCTCTTGGATGTGGGGTATCTTTTTTTTGGTGGGATCCAACATTCTCCTGTCGATGGTGGTTCAGCAGTGAGTTGCAATTTTGGAGTTCTCCCAGGAGATGAGCGCATGCCTTTCTACTCCATCATCTTTATATCATGCCATATCGGGAAAGGAGGACATCAAGGCTGTATATTGTTGCCTGTTTATTTAACTTATATGCGGAGTACATCATGCGAAGTGCCAGGCTGGATGAAGCACAAGCTGGAATCAAGGTTTCTGGGAGAAATATCAATAATCTCAGATGTGCAGATGACACCATGCTTATGGCAGGAAGTGAAGAAGAACTAAAGAGCCTCTTGATGAAGGTCAAAAAGGAGTGTGAAAAAGCTGACTTAAAACTCAATATTCAAAAAACTAAGATCCTGGCATCCCGTCCCATCACTTCATGGCACACAGATGGGGGAAACAATGGAAACAGTGAGAAACTTAATTTTCTTAGGCTCCAAGATCACTGCAGGTGGTGACTGCAGCCATGAAGTTAAAAGATGCTTGTTCCTTGGAAGAGAAGCTGTGACAAATGTAGACAGCATATTAAAAAACAGAGACATTATTTTGCTAACAAAGATCCATATGGTCAATGCTATGGTTTTCCCACTGGTCGTGTATGGATGTGAAAACTGGACAATAAAAAAGACTAAGTGCTGAAGAATGATGCCTTCAAACTGTGGTGTTGGAGAAGGCTCTTGAGAATCCCATAGACAGCAAGGAGATCAAGCCAGTCCCTTGGACAGCAAGGAGATCAAATCCTAAAAGAAACCAACCCTGAACATTCACTGGAAGGATTGATGCTGAAGCTGAAGTTACACTACTGTGGCCACCAGTGCCAAGAACTGACTCATTGTAAAAGACCTGGATGCTGGGAAAGATTGAAGGTAGGAGGAGAAGGGGACAACAGAGGATGAGATGGTTGGATGGCATCACTGCCTCAATGGAGATGAATTTGAGCAAGCTCCAGGAGATAGTGAAGGATAGGGAAGCCTGGCGTGCTGCAGTCCATGGGGTCACAAAGAGCTACAGAGATGGCCAAGGGACCTGCTGGCTTCTCTCAGCCAAGGGCCATGTCTGTGGCAGGAGGTCCTGGGCAGTCACCCTCCATCTCAGATCAGGCAAGACTGGTAGGAGGCATGTCCAGTTCCACAGGCCCTCAATTTTCCGGCAGGCTGAGGGGTCTATCCCCAGACAAAACCAAGGCCCTTTTCCCTGAAGGCAACCCAGGGACCATTCTTTAAAAGAGCCCGTGTCTGATCACCTTCTTAGGAGCATACAGAGGCCACCACAGATCCACCCCTGAGTGAGCCACACATTACAGATGAGGCTGCCTGCCTCTGATGCTCCTGTCCTGCAGGCTCCTGCCTGGCCCTCTTGAGATCCATCATTCTCAAAGTGCTGTGGCTGCTGCCCCTTGGTCTCTTCCACCTCTGCCTGTCCATCTGTCTTCCCCAAATCAGGACACTGCTCCTGCCCACAGTGCTCCTGGATTCCCGCCTTGGAGCTTGCCCCTGTGAACTGTGTTGACCATCAGCATTTGTCACCCCAAAGAGGCCCCCAGGAAGATGAATGAACCTCATGTACAGGTGGGTCACTGCCGAGCTGTCTGGGTTGAGAAGAGGTCACTTGATGAGCCATGTTCAGTGTGTGTGTGTGTGTGTGTGTGAGGGGTCCTCACAAGGGGAAGTTTGGACACAGACACATGGGGGACAAAGTGATGTGACAGCAGCAGTGGAGATGGGGTGATGGAACCCGAGGAGCTGGTAGGGTCATGGAACTGACCATCCTGAGAACCTGCAGGAAGAGTGGGCCCCTTACACTTTTGACTTCAGGCTCCAGGACTAAGAGTAAGTGTGTCTGTCATGTTCCAGCGCCTCATCTAGTGTGATGTGGGGTCCTGGGGTGGGGGAGTGGGTCCTGTGCTTCTTGAAATCCAGGATCATCTCTGGCTGCCTCCTCTCTGAGCACAAACCCCACTCTTCCTTGGGGAGAGAAACCTGGGACCCAGAATTCCTGCACCTTGCACAACCCTGTCATTGCCAGCTGCCTCTGTTAGCCCCATCCCCAGGGCATTCCAGGCCCCATCCAGGAGCCACACTGTGAGTGGCTGTAGGCCAACCCCTATCCCACCCCCTGGACTTGGGTGCAGTCACCTGAGAATTGATTTACCAGTCCCCACATGCACCCCCATATCACAGGACAGGTCATAGTTCCTAGTTCAGGGATGTTGAGTGTGGTCCTTGAATCTGGATGAAGAAAACCCTTCCCAAGAGATAAGGGCCCAGCTGGACCAGGACGTCAGTACTGCTCCCTCCCATCCTCCATGGAGTGAGGTCAGAGCCCCAGTGACACCCAGGAAAGGATGTGACAGCCAGAGGAGTAGAACATCCTTGGATTGGGGCCCAATCACCAACTCACTCCCCCAGAGAGAGCAGTGTTTTCACCAGAGCCTCAAGATGCGACCGTTCCCCCAGCAACATCCAGGCTCAGGGAACCAGCCAGATGGAAACCCCATTCCAGTGTATCTGGTGTTTATAGGCCCAGCCTTGGGGTGGGGGGATAGTCCAGCTTGAAGGAAGATGGATGTGCTCCAGTTCTGGACACTTGCTGTCCAAGCCCATGCATCGTTGTCCCCGCCCCATGCCCCGCCCCCATCCATCTGTGACACTGTCCACCCCTGACCCTGGCTATCGTTGTCCTCATCCATCCCTGACCCTGTTCATCCATGTCCCCATCCATCCCTTATCTTGTCCATCCATGTCCCCATCCATCCCTGACCCTGTCCATCTCTGACACCGTCCATCCCTGCCCCCATCCATCCCTGACCCCGTCCATTCCTGACCCCGTCCATCCATGTCCCGTCCATCCATGACCTTGTCCATCCATGTCCCTGTCCATCCCTGACCCCGTCCATCCTTGTCCACATCCATCCCTGCCCCCATCCATCCCTGCCCTCCTCCATCCTTGTCTGTTCCATCTCTCTGTGGCCTTGCTCCCCTCAGGAAACCCTCTAGGCTCCAAGTGTCCACTTTTCCACCTCAACTGCATCCCTCTGTCCAATTAAATTTGCAGGATTCTTGCCCCAGTGAAGACAGGGCGAATGCCCCACATGGGTGTTTTAGCCGTTTATAGACTTGGCTTCCCTTCTCTTCTGGGCTGGGGTCTGGCTGGATCTGATTTGGTTTCCAGCTGCCCTGGGGGTGAAACCAGGCGCCTCCTCACCACCATCACCCCTAGCTCCACACCTCTTATCCAGCCTCAGGGCTGACACAGACCTCCCTGGCCTCCCCGACTTGCTCACCCTGCATCCGGTCCTCAGTCCACCTGTGCTGACAGGTGAGAGCTCCCTCCAGATGCTCTCAAGTGCTTCACCCCAGCATTCTCCCGGGGTTGGCCCCCTGTCGTGCAGGGATGGCCACTCACACCAGTCCCCACCTTCAGGGCTGGAGTGGGCATCAGACATGCTGCATGCACATGGGTGAACCTGCCTCGGGACCTGGGAAGGAGCAGCCGTGCCCCAGGATGTGAGGAGGTGTGGCCGACCACAGGGTGGACATCACCAGCTGTCTCACCAGGCGAGGGCAGCTGCATTCTCCCTTCTCAGAGACTTTCTCACCCAGCCTGGTCTTGGTCCCACAGCCTG